GTTTGCATTTATGTCTGAAATGTATATTTCTAGAAGCCTTGTTTTAAATTCTTGAGAATATAACATGAAATCTTCCCAACTGACGTAAGTAGACTCAGAGAGAGAAGAAACTGAGGATTGGCCCAAGGTCACACTGTGGGTAAGGAGACAAGTCAACACTGAGACGAGGGCTGGTGACTATGAGTCTCATGTTCTGACCACATCGCCTACTGCTGGGGCTGGCTGGTCTTGCATTCCTTGGGGGTAAAGTAAGGATACGATTTCGCCAAATAACAGGAGGACAATAATCAGCATATTGGGTGAGTGTTCCTTAGGGGAAAACCCTCCATATGTGAGTATAGGATTGGTGAAGAACTGTTCATCTTTAGGAAAGAAGCAATGCATTTTCATTCATCTAATAGGTATTTATTAAGTACTATGTGTAAGTTACATTGCTAAGTTCTATGAACAGAAACACAAAAAAAATTATAAGATATAGTCTCTGCTTAATACAAACTAGTCAGGGGGATATGTCATTTATAAAAGCTCTTAGGTAACAGCCTGGCATGTAGTAATTAATATGTAAATGTTCATTAATCAGTCAATCAAAGCATATATAATTCTAGTTAAAACATACTTAGCCCATGCTATTTACCAAACGCTTTTGCATTAATCACTTTTAATGCTTACAAGTTTATAAACAAAGCTTTATCATGATCCTCGGTTTACAAATGAGACCTGAGAGAATAACTACACAGACACAGTTTTGTTCAAGGTCATAGAACTAATAAAACCAGTACTTTAAGTCTGTCTGGCTAGAAAGCCTCTGAATCCTAATCCTGTATCCCACCCCTTACCTCAGATAATGCTGTCTGCGTACTATGTGACTGTGGGTAATTACCATCCATTTTAGAAGGAAAAAAAACCCTGGCATTTATCAATTATTTATATCATTGTACAATGTCTTCTGATTTTTATCAGTGCACACAAATGTTTTACACTATCACAACCGGTCTATATCTGTGTTTTGCTCCTTTTACTCACTATCACATTATTCTGTATAAACAGTTTCATATACTTAAATTCCATTAGCTATATATTATATGCATGCCAGTATCCATTAAATACAGAATCTTTGCCCCAGTTCACGATTATTAGATATTAGGTTACTACTTCATTTTACTTTGATGAATAATAGTATTGCCATACAAGCTATAAACGTATTCCTTTGGTTAATAATCACATTATTGACATTACTGAAGCAAATTAATGGGCCAAACATGAACAGTTTTATGAGCCCATGGCGGATTGCTCTTCAGCAGGACTGGCCAATTTACAAAGACAGGGGAAATGTGTTGGTGTACCTCTTAGTCCCTAATCCTGCTAACACCTTTAAAAGAATTATCTGTTTCATTTTGCTAATTTATAGAGACAGTAGAACCTCATTGGCTGTTTCAGTTTGAATGTCTTCATTATTAGGGAAACTAAAATGTTTTCTTCATTTCCTACCTGTATTTTTCTGTGTAAAATATTTGTTTTATCCTTTGCCTTTCTTATAAATAAAGAAAAGATATTTTTAAAAATGTGAGGAAAGGTGTTTAAATATTAATGCTTTAAATACGCGGGAAAGTCTCATGTTCAGTTTCAGTTAATTAACATTTTTGAGTTACCTGCAGCCTAAACAGATACCATCAGAAGGTGCTAAGAAATTGCAAAATGAATTGTAAGTTGTCCAAGAAGTTGGAGATGGTGCCAAGTAATACCAGCTATCTGATACTACCATACAGAAATTTGATTTAACACCTGTGATTCTATAAATGGAAATACCGCTCTTCCAGTTACTCAGTGGTGCTTAGCTATTTTACTTTCTTTAAAAGATTCAAGTTCCTTTGAGAATGTGATCTGTGGATCATCTTCCTGGAAAATGCATGCATTTTGCATAATGTTTCACAAATTTCCATTTAATGGGTCTCCAGTTAATGACCCCTATTTTACAACAATCTTAGACTTCTATCATTTTTCCTTCACAATGTTTCTCTTAGCTGCATTTTTCTCCATGTCCCCAAGGCCAATGCCCTTGTTTTACGTCTGAGGTTATAGAGAGGAACGGCATAGGAGAAAAATATAAATAGCCACTTACCCATACTTTCATTACCGTGATGCTGATTGTGATAGAGGTGAGGCTGGAGTGCTGTGGAGGTATGCTGGAGAAGAGCCACCACACTCCTTTGAGTCACCATTACTCACCCAAATAGTTACAATAGCTTCCTAACTGGTCTCTTGGTTTCCCTCTTACCTTCTCTTCCAGGTTTACTTCTTGCTCAGTAGAACAGATGTCCTATTGAAGACTAATCAGATGATATCACCTGTTGTAAAACTCTATAATCCAACCAAGAATATAATTTCAACACCTATCCATAGCGTCCACGGCTCTTTCTGACCTGACTCAGCCCTCTCTTCTACTGCTCTGGTGAGCTTAATTCATTCCAGTCCCACTTTCCTTCTGCCTCCAGGGATTTTCCACTTGCTTTTCCCCCTACCTGGATCATCTACCTCCTGGATCTTCTACAACTTTCTCTCTTCATTTAGGTCTTGGAGAGCTGGGAGGTGCACTCCCTGACCATACCATCTAAAATGTCCTCTACATCCTGATCACTCCTTCATCCTGTTTTATTATTTTTTATCACACCTGTCACTGCCAGGTACTTTATTAATATGTTGTTTATTTTCTGATTTTCCCACTCTTATAAGTGCCATGAGGACAGGGACTGTTTATTTACTGGTGTGTCTCTAGGCCTTAGAACAGTACCCAAAACACATAATAAACTGTTCAAATATTTGTTAAATAAATGGTTCAAATATTTGTTAAATAAATAAATACTTTGCTTATGTACTATAGAGACCATAACTGATTCCTGCTCACAGAGTAAACAGTTGAAGAAAAATTTTTAAAGGTAAAAATCTTGAACTACTCCTAAAATAGGATAACAGCCTGAAATTCATATCTGAAACTTAACTACTGTTTTGAAAAATCAGCATGAGAAGATCAGACTTGTAATTTTTATAAAAACAAAAGCTATCACACATTGTATTTGAAAAAAGAAATTAGTGCAAACACATATTAAAGAACTGAAACTACACAGAAAGGCTATTAAATTAAAAATAGAATTATCTCATATACATATATATAAAAGATATACATATATTTATATACATACATATTTAAGTATATATATATTTATAAACTTAAAATGTATACAAATTACATACCGTTTAACAATTACTTTAAAAAACTTAATAATTTGTCCTGAAGGATTTTTTGAACTTCAACACATAAGTCTATACTGAATTCTTCAAATGTTGAGGAATACCTTTGCTTGGATAGGCCATAACTTTTCTTTCTTTTTTTTAATATGGATAGGCCATAACTTAAGATGAGCATTTGGATTATTTCTAGATTTTTGCTATTTCAAAAATATTTCAATGAAATGTTCTGTATATACACATGTATATGTATATAGATCATATATCATATAATAATATATATGAGATGTATATGATATATAATGTATCATATATAATTGAAAATATTTGTCATAGTGATATATATACACACATATACACACACACATAGTGAGTGATATATATATATATATACACACACACACACACACACACAATTTTCTTAAGGTTAAGTTCCTAGTCAGTCTCATGAATTAAAACAAAATGTCCCATATTCTTTTGCCTTTCTTTTCTTTAATTATAAGATATACTGAATGATCAAGCTCACTCAAAATAAAGGAATGCTTACTTCAGTGGTGTAGTTCAAAAGGGCTGTGGGTATTTATACCAAAGGGAATGGAAATTCGATGCACCTAAAATAGACAATAACTGAGCAATGTTCACTTCATTTGTATTATACCACCATTACGTGTGGTTGAAACCCTGAAAATTCTGCCTGTATGAAAAACTGTATTGCTCTCTATTAAGCATCTGTCTTCCCATTATATCACAACGGTCTTCTAATGGCCAGATACAGGGGACTCTTGTCATGCCCCTATTACTTACCTTCTGTTCAGTTCTTGGCACTATAATCCCTCAAGATCTTCTCTTCCTTTTCCTTCCAGGGCATGTGCTCTGGGTTCTCTCCGGCTCTAACTTCATTACAAGTTTCATTGCTGAATACTCCCCCTATGTCCATCCCTAATCGGAGTGGTCTTGTGAAACTTATCATAGCCTCTTTCCACAGGATAAGCACTCTCTGGTCATCCCTTTTACTTCCGTATTTCCAGCATTCGTCATAAATTTTTATCTCAGTTTAGCTCAGATGTCTTCTCCTGGAGTATTTACCTAAATAGTCCAACAGAAACCCCATTCTGAATATCCCACAGGAAATGTAGCAGATCCCCAAGCAATTCGCTTGCCCCTGGAACTCCTCACACTAGCAGTCCCTCACTTTGTCTCTATTCCCTGCCCTGCTGCCACCGTTCGCAGCCCTCCAGTCATTCCTGTATTAGTTCTGTCTCCAAATCCTTCCAGATACGGCCAACTGTGTTTTACAGAACTATCACCACCCTGAAGCCACATGTTTTTTTAATGGATACCTGAGCGACAGGAAGATAGTAAAGTGAAATTAGCGATGTCACATAGTGCCCAAGTCAATAATCACTGGGCTAAGTTTGACATTTCTTCTGGTTTTCACAGTGTTTTTTGTGACTTGATCTCTCTTCATTCAGTGCCATGAAACGGACATCAGAAGGCCTTCCTTGGACGCGCTGGCCCTCCTCGCCCCTCCCTCATTTGCTTCCCTTCCCGCCTGTCTCCCGCCCAGCCCAGCTGCCGCTCCACCCCTGGCCCCGGCCGCCCCTCCCCCCAGCACGCTGGCCAGCTCCTCTCGCCAGCCACAAGGCCCCGCCCATCGGGGGGCCCGAGTCACGAGGTTACGGCGCACGGACGCCAAGGGGCGGAGCCAGGACGACTGCGGCGGCCTTGGGCGGAGTCCGGCGCGCGGGCCATCCTGCTATATGTGCGCCTGCGCGGCGCTGCTGCGGGACAGTCGGGACGGAGGAGACAAGATGGCGTTGCGGGCGATGCGGGGGATCGTGAACGGGGCTGCGCCCGAGCTACCCGTGCCCACCAGCGGGCCCGTGGTGGGATCCCGGGAGCAGGCGCTGGCGGTGAGCCGGAACTACCTTTCCCAGCCTCGCCTCAGTGAGTATCGGAGAGCCAGACGAACCCTGTCCGCTCCTCAGCCCAGCCCCTTGCTCCCACCCCCCTGCCTAGCCGGCCCGAGAGGTTGGGGAAAATTTATCCCTCTCGCGGCCCCGAACCCTGAGCCTTAAGTCTGTCCCTAGAAGGAGGCTTGAACGTACCCAGCGATTCCATGATGTGCGTGGGCTGAGGGCAGGAGCGCTGACAGCCGCTTTTGCCTGGTGGCGATGGGCTCCTAGCTGTGACGCCCTCCAGCCCACCTGGACCGGGGCATCCCCAGGCACCTGCTTCCTGCCACCGAGGGAGGGCCGCTGGCCCTCTTTCCAATCTTCATTTTCCCCTGATCTGATTTGCGCAGCCAGGGGTCGAGAGAGCGCCCCTTCCCATCCCCGTGGTGTGGACCTCAGGGCAGATCTTGAGCTCCTACCGAGGCAGGCGGTGTAGTGCCATCGCTTACGCGGTCAGGCCTTCCCTGGATGGAGGTCAGGCCCGCAGCCAGAGGGGCCTGTTGTTCGGTGGAGGGGCTGCTCCACAGGAGGGACGCCTAGATATCCGAGAACACCAGAGCTGAAAGGTACCCTGCAGAGCAGCTAGTCTCACCCTCTCATTTTACAGCGAGAAGCCTAAGGTTCTGGGAGGGACAGCACTTGCCAAGCTTCAGACACCTCACTATGGGCAGAGCAGGAACTAAAATTCCAGGTTTCTTAATTCTCATTGGGTCTTTTCTACCACTGCCTCTTCTTTTACTGCCAGCTAACCTGATTTGGTTGAGTGCAAGGCTATCTTGGGGAAGCAAAGCAATTTTGCCCATATTAAATGGTGTGTATGTAAAACATGTACATGTGCATAGGCATGTTTAAATGTTGTGATTATTAAAAAAGCCTTAACAAACCAGGTGTAAGTGGGCTGCTTAGCAGTTCTGAGAAGTGGGTTTTTTAACTAAACAATGTAGTTGTGTAGCATCAGACCTCTTTACAGCTTCCTTAGGAACCGGGTATAAGCCCTGAAAATAGACTTTTTAAAACTTGGGAAAGCACCTGATGTTTCCCCAGGTGGTGAAACTACTTGCACTGGTTAATTGCCAGAGTGCCTGTTGGTAGGTGGCTCATGGTGAAAAAAGATTTCAGATGAAAGGTTTTCAGCCTCCGTGCTGTCCAGCCTGACTAATCCCATCCTGATCTGCCACTGGGTCATATGACAGCATTGCAGTGTGAGGAAGAAGGAAAACACTCGATTCTGTGGTTTACTGAAATGTGCTTTTTACACTTGGAATTATCTGAATTAGAAAATATCTGCTGGGTGTTTATATGAGCTGAAGTAAATGTTTCAGGAAATTGACAGATGTTGCATTCGTATATAGACTTTGACAATAAATTAATACCTAACACTTGCAAATTCTCTTTTATGAATTGGATTTCTGTGCTTTGCTTTTTTCGTGTTGAACAAATAGACATTAATGGTGCTTCTAGGAATAGATTTAAGGGTTCAGGAACCATTTGCTAGATAATTATTTGCTCAACATCAATTCAGACAGTATCAACTGAACTAATAATACTGTTAAAAGAGTATGCCATGATTGAGTTTGTAAACCCTTACAGGAGATGAGTATGATTTCTCAACATTCTGTGTGCTTAGCCAGACACTAAAGAGCTTCTCCAGATAAGATCCCTCCTGGAAGAATTATTGCAACATAATATTTAAAAATGAACCTCAGGAATCCTTTTTGTATCCTCTGTGCCTGGCACAGTGCTTGACATGTAGAAAGTGTCTTGTAGTTGTTGCATAGCTTGTGTTTAAACTTCTTATACTTTAATGGATAATTTTTAATACAGATGAAATTAAGGTAGGGAGTTGGGATACTTGAGTTCCTCTTTTGTGCCTGGGTTATTCTTAAGTGATCATAAATTATATATATCATCATAAATGATTTATCATATTTATGCTCACAGGTTAACTGCATTTGGATATCATCTTTTTACTATATTGTCACATTCTTGATTCAAGTCAACAGTTTTAATTACTTCCGAATACTCATTAACCATAATTTTTCCGAAGATTAATGCCATTTTAAGTGTTACGTATTACAGTTAATGTTGTGTATTTATTGAAACAATAGAAATTGAAAGTTTCGTTGTACAAATTGGATTCTCTCAAAACAACTTCAGGATTATCGGGCTGTTCACAAGAAATGGAAAATGAGATATGCAGACTTGGAATAATCTTGAGCACTTTAGTTGAATTTATAAAGTCACAAGTAAAGAAAACTTGATTTTCTGTTAAACTTTGAGCAAGGGTCAATAATATACACAGAGCTTTTGGATGCTAAACATTTCCAGTTAGTAATCTCCATTGTTCTTGGGATCCTAATTCAACTAATGTTAACTTTCTTACATTGTACAGCTGAGCTAGCTCAAATGAAAAGTCAAGTAGAGGAATTCCTGTATTAGTTCTGGCCCTCTGTTTAGAGCCCCTCCCATAGCACCCACTGCTCAGGGTGTGGGTCTCTCTATTCTTGCACAACAGAAGATGATGCTCTGGGTTTTTGTTTTGCTAATAAGGTGGAGGCTCAAGGACTAGATATCTTTTGTGCAATAGCAGTTGAATTTTCTCTGACAATTTCACAATCATTAAGTGGTGTTAGTGGTGTTGAACAATCTTACATCCTGCAGGAAGAGGATGTCATCTGACAAAATATGTGCTTCTTAAAACCTTTATAAATTTTGGTTTTTAAATGTTACTCCATAAATATCTATTGCCTGCTTGATAGTTCAGAATCACAGATGGGACTTTCTAGTTGTAAAATGTGTTCAGCATGTAATGTAAACATGTATCTGCTGTGTTAGTCAGAAGTTCTAATTATCCCCTGCAGACCCAAGTTCTTGTTCGCTTGGAAATTTTAAAGTGGTCATTATTTTGGTAATCAGAAGTGTTTCTATAATTGTGAATGGGTTTTTGACTCTTGAAAGGCAGCTTTACTCTGAACTGTTACCTTTGCTTTGGTGGCTCTTAATAGTAATGATGAGGAAGCTGGATAAATATTGTTGAGAGATAAAAGGCAGTGTTTGATATTTTCTTTGCTTTTGTTTTTTCTTCCAAAAACTCTCTTAGTACCTTTTTGTAATCCAAGTACTAGGAATTGTGTAAGTCCAGGGAGAGGAAATTCTGGGGAAAAATACCTCTAAAAACTGAAGTCAAAGGGAGAAATAAAGTTTAAAATCCGTTTATTGCTCACAAACTGCAGTCCCGGGCCATCTTTCTCCTCTGCTATGGAAAAAGCAAAAACCGTTCCCCTACCCCCAACTCTTCAGGTACAGATAAGCCCTCTGTTGCCCACCTAATTCCCACTGATACGGAAATGAACTTCTCTCCACCCCTGAGGTATGATGCAAATGCACTAAAGCCATACTTCTCTCCACCTTTGAGCACCTGTTGATATGCAGATGTACTAAAGCCAGGTGAGATATTCTGGAAATGTTACAATTCTACCCACACGCCACCCCTCCAGAAATTTCGCTTTACAATTTATTCGTTCCCCCTCTTCCTCCTCTTCTGACCAATCTAATAACATACAATAGCAACAGCAATAAAATTTTGATAATTCTCAAGCCAGAGGATTCAGCCTATGCAGATTAAGTAAATGTACTTTACAGCACAATCTCTCACTAAGCACAAAATATGTTTCTACCCTTGTTTATTCATTCCTAACAACCATGCTAGATTGCTCACAAAACTTTACCAAACATTACACAAATTCAAGCGTCTCTTTAAGCATTTTTTTTCTTGACAACAACAACACAATCGTGAAAATTCTCGATTCAGAGGATTCAGCTAGGTTCAAAGTACCATGCAGATTAAGTCCAAAGCTCGTCCATTCAAGCCATCACGTGGCATCTGCAGCCAGGGGGCACATCCCGAACACAAGAACTATAGAAGCAAATAACCGTGATTTGGGGAGGCTACTTTGCTGTTATTCCAGGAATACACAGGAGGCCTGCTTCCAGGCCTTTACCTCAAGGTGCCAGAAGAGCCAGCCATCACCAGTCCATGAGTCGAAATGTCCAGGGCCACATCCATTTTATTCCTAATTGCTGTACCCATCCTTGCAACGCATGTCCAATAAAGTGGGTGCCTTGATCTCTCTCAATTACTGGCGACAAGCCATAGGCTGCAAAGAGATGCTCTAGGCCCCTCTTGGTGGTTTGCTGATCTGACAATGTGCGGGACACTCCTTCCAGGCTTAGCTGACTTCTTCAAAGGTCAATGACAAGCCCCACTGATGGGCTACAGCCCACACTGTCTTTTGCCCCACTTGCAACAAATGCTGATGTAGCCATTGGGCCACATCAGAGGCAGGCTTTCCTTTTAGGCAGCGCACCCGGGCCAATGTATTGGCTTCATTATTCCCTGGGGATGCCAAAGGCAAATGGCCAGTCACATGATACATGGTAGGTGTCTGCGCCATGCCACTCCGTGGCCTTTGGGTCCAGTCTCTCACCCACCCTGCAATGGGATAGGTGGTTATTACCTTGGTCGGAGCTCTTCTGGCAATGGGCTCTGTAGCCAGTAAGGTGTGGTACACAGCAGCCAATTGCTTCTCTATTAAGATATACCAGATCTCTGCTCATTTCCATAGTTGTGACCAGGCTCCAGCCAGCAGCAGTGGCAGAAGCAGTAGCCTTAGGCTTGGGCCATCGGCCGGAGTCAGCATGGCCAACAGCGGCGGTAGTGCCTCCAAGACCACACGAATGTAGACACATGTCCCTTGGCACAAGTGCCACCTCTCCCCATCGTTTCTATAGGCGGCCCTCCCAAAGTTAGCACCCATTATGACAGATTTAGGGTTCAAAGGAATCCTGACGACTGTGCCAGATGTAAATCTGGGAAGAGGAAATCCCGGGACAAAATACCTCTAAAAACCAAAATCAGTCAAAGGGAGAAATAAAGTTTAAAATGCATTTATTTCTCACAAACTGCTGCAGTCCCAGGTTGTCTTTCTCCTCTGCTCTGGAAGAAGCAAAAATCAGCCCTCCCCTCCCCTCTCAGGTACTGATAAGCCCTCTGTTGCCCAGGTAATTCCCACTGATACGGAGATGAAGTTCTCTGCACCCCTGAGGAATGATGCAAATGCGCTAAGGCCATACTTCTCTCCACTCTTGAGCACCTATTGATATGCAGATGTACTAAAGCCAGGCAAGATATTCTGGAAATGTTACAATTTTACCCACAAATTGTATTTGCATATTTTTTGGTTATACCAGAAACTAAGTTCAGAAATAATTTAAGTCAGGCATGTTGCCTGGCCTCTGATTTGCATCTGAAGTAACATCCAGTTTTTCATGCTTTCCAGCAGGCAAGACTGCTGAAGAAAGCATCTCTATTAGCTTCTTCTCTCTGTCTACTTAAACTCTTCCAGTGGCTGCACTCCATTAGAGATTGCTTTACAGTAATGACAAAATGTAGAGACAAAGGAAATACTGTCCAGTGCATTAAAGAGTAAAAACACCTTATATTTTCATTGTTGAACTTGCAGCCATAAGATTACTTTGCCAATAAAAAGAAGTCTTGCAAATAATTACAAGTGTGTATCAGACTTCAAAAAAACAACCAATTCAGTTTCAGAATTTGAGCTGCAGTACAGAGTTAAAGAATAAAGCAACTCCAGAATCAGACTGGAGCAAGTTCAGGTCCTCAGGGTTGTTAACTTAATTTCTGAGAATCCTATTTCTCTTCTAAAACTTGGAGTGGTGTCAATTAATTCATAAACCTCTTATGACAATTAAATGATAGTTTCTGACAAGTATTTGTTAAATATCTGTTGGTGGTGGTGGTGTTCATCGATTTGAATGGCTGCCTTTTTTTTGTGTGTGTGTGTGGCTATATACGTTGTCCCAAATTTGGAGACTGCTTTATGAAGTAGAATCTGGTCTTCTGTAGTAGAAGTCAACTTGATTCTGTTTCCAGAAACAGCAGTGACTAGTGATTATTTTTCTTCGTCAAGTTTTTGCTCTTGACCTGCAAAACTTCGTAATTTAAATTAGCTCGAATTTAAGCATGAGATTCTGAAGCATCATTGTTGTAGAGGTTAGAAGTTCAAAGGAGCATCTGGACAAAGAATTAAAGAGATTTTTCAGAATCCAAAGAATTCTATTTGTTACATTTTATTCAATAAGGAGTGGCCTGTAAATCTGAGAGAGACGGCTCCCCCACCACCAATGCACTCCCTCCTCCCATCCCAACTGTTCAGATAAGGGTTTTGAAAAGGTCTGTGTTTCTATATTCTGAAAAAAATGGGTCCTAAGAAAATATGTTTCTGATGTAGCTCACTTTGCATTTCCACTAGCAATTTTAGAAAGTCTTTAAAAATCAGAATGGACTCTAAGTGAGAACAATGAAGAAATTTTCTTAGGGATTGGAATTATTTGTGAGAGTATTGGATTATTTTAATACCATGGAGAGGATTTTTATAAAAGTAGCAAAAAAATGTAACAACTAGGGTCTTTCTATAATTTTAAGGGAATGATTAATTCTTTTACATGTACTACCCATTCGAGTAACTTAAATTTGTGAGTTGTCCTTTAAAAATAAATAGGTCATTTTGGGGCTTCTGTTGAAGTTATCACAATTATCACAAATACACAATTACACACATTCAAGCGAATATTTGGTGTCAGAATTTAAATGTCCAGTGAGAAAGAGGAGGGCCCTTTAGTGCTTGTCCGTTCCCAGTGTTTGTACTAGAGCATTTGCTTCCTGACTGAAGAAATTGTGCTTTTAAATTCTGAAGCGCCTTGAGTGGACAGACTGGTTATTAAATGGTTTCCTCATTCTTGGGAGTCTGCATTTGTGCCAGAAATCTCTGTCCAAGACCTAAGAAGAAATCAAGCAAGTGAAAAATTCCTATTTGGTTGACAGTTTCTTACAAATTATTTTAGGCCTTGTGTTAAGTTTTCTTTAAACATTTAATTTGTTTCTTCAGCTGATTATGAAACTTAACCAATTCTGATGCTAGAATTACTCTCCTTCTGAGTGTTCTGTTTTATTAATTATGATTACACATGACATATGATAGGGTTCAAGATTTGGATACCTTACAGAGTGCAGGTTTATTCCTAGGGAATAATTTACAGTGGCAAATGGAGGTCTCTAAACTGATACTAACATTTGACTACTTTGGATATTTTTCCTACTCAACCCTCTGGCCTTTGATTTCATTGCCCACCACCCCCTTCATCAAGCTCTTTTCCCATAGGGCTTATGACACCATGTAATCATGGCTTTTTACCGTACAGACTACATTTTCTCAAATTTCCTTTTGTGAGTTTTGTCACTTGTGCTTAAAGTTGTTAATGACTTCCTTTCCCTTCCTTGTCTATGTTTCTAAGTGCCACCTGTTCTATAAAGCTTTCCCTTTTCTCTTTAAGGTAAGAACTGCTAGGTTTTTCCTATGCTCCCACATACCCTTTGCGAACCTCTGTCAGAGCCCCTGCCTCCCCGTGTCTCCATATGAACCTCTAACCTCATAACTTTCCACATTTGTTTTTGTATTCTGGGTCCTTAAAACAATGTGACTTATATAGTAAGGACTCAAAATGCCTTTGATTGGATGAGAATGGGTTATGAAAAGTTGCACAGGCATATTTTATAAGTTCGGTGAAAAAATTTTAAAACAGTGCTACATATTATAATAGGTAAGATAAAGTAGAGAGAGCTTTTGGGTGATACTAGACATTATTTATGCTGCTGTCCTAGTTGACTAAAGCTGACTCTTCTATTTCCTTTCCAGCATACAAGACAGTATCAGGAGTCAATGGTCCACTAGTGATCTTAGATCATGTTAAGGTAATACCACTCTCATTTTTTGTTTACGTATTAATATAGTTAAAAACGTGGTATTAAGTCCTGTTTAGTACACTTTATAACTTTTATGTTACGATTTTTAAGCCATTCGTTGGTCTGAATGTCAGTGTTACATAGGATACAAGAATTTTAGATCAAAAGAAGACTAGAATCTAGTACTCCATCTATTGTAGACTGCTTGTGGCTAGAGTCCTTTGTCTGAAAAATTTTTTTTTAATATTTATCTATTTTTGGTCAGTCTGACCTTACAGGTTTATCAGGTAGCAGCAACATTTATGAATGTGTTGCATAACCTGTAGGACACCATATAGATAAGTGATACCTTGCAGCACTTGTCATAGACTGCCAGGTGTTTACTAAGTATGGTATTTGTCTTCCCTACTAAAATTTAAGGTCTTTGAATAAACAATGTTACTTTTGTCTTTAGGGGCTTGACTCTGGTATTCAAGTAATGAATAAATAAGAACAGATTATAACAACAGTAACTAAAACCCTAAAGGCAAGGAATAGTTTTTACTTACTGAGTTTGTTGTAAAGATCTTTAGTTACTTATTTTTTTAGTCACCCCTATACATAAGAACTACAAACACTGTTAGTATTATCTTAGAAAAAGAGGCATTGAATATAGTCTAATTGAATACCCTAGGCAAAAGCACCTGCCTGAGCTCTATGATCAACATATCTCAGAGAAAATTATATAGTATGCTCTCTAGAACAGTAATTCTACCTTGGCTGGTGTTGGGGTAGACTCAAGGGAAAGGCACATGATTACTGATTTGTTAGGAGAAGTAAAATGAAGTATGTTTGGCATGTGACCCATCTGGAAACAAAAAAAAAAGTCAAAAAACATTTCTTAAAAGAAAGGGCAAGGTGCCTTGTCTCTTCAGCTTTATCACTAAGTTTGTATTTTTGTGTGTGCCAAGATACCTACACAAATTAATCTCAAGATTAAGCATAGCAAAGCTTACCTCCTGGTCATATTTCAGTTACTTCATATATTCACCAAAAACAGTGATGTAAAACAGAGTTGCTGGATGCAAGAATTAATCTACAGAAATCAGTAGTGTTCTATGTGCCTGAAGTAATGAATTAAAATAGTCACTAATAATTTACAAAAAGCTGCAAAACTTTGTTGAAAGACATAAAAGAAGACTTAAATGGAGCTTCCATAATTGTGAATGAAAAGACTCAGAATAGTAAAGATATTCATTGTCCCATGTAACAAATCCAATTAGAGTTATTAAGTTAAAGATTTGGTGTAGGAATAAACAAGTGTATAAGTGGAACAAAATTAACAGTCCTAAACCAGGACTTGGTAAATTATAAAAGTGACATTACAAGTTAGTGGAGAACATTTTGTGCTACTCAGTAAATATCATTGGGGCATTTGGCTTCCTACATGAGAAAGAATAATCATGAGAAAAATAAAATAAAACTGCATACCACAAATAAATCCAGACTTAAATATGATGACCTTTGTGCGTGCTTTAAGTTAAAAACAAAAGAGTATAGGAGACCATTTTTATACTGCAGAAGGTTTTCCTAAAAAAGAAAAGGCACAAATCATAAAGAAAAACAAGTCATTTTATTAAAGTTTTAAAATTTCTATATGAGATATTACAAAGGAAATTAAAAGACAGGAAACAGACTGAGGACAAATATTTATAAGAGGATTGATTTCCAGAATCTATAAAACTCATACAAATAAGTAAGAAAAAGCAGATCCAGATGAAAAGTGGCGAAAAGATGTTAATAAGCCAATCAAAAGAAATGAAGTTTGAATATTAACACAAAAGATGCTCAATATTAGTAGAATCAGGAAAATGTAAATTGAGTAGATGCCTTTTTTTTTTTTTTTGGTTTTCTGGCATGGCAGCAATTACAATTCAATGATACGCGATTGCCAGAGATATAGGAAAAAGGTATTTTTGTATATTGCTAGGGAGATTGTAAATTACTACAGTCCTTCGCAGTATTAATTTGGCAGAAAATGGCACAGCTTGTAGTCCACCACCAGGTAACCAAATACCCTAGGAAAACTTGGACCATTTTATGAGGAGCCACATGGGAGAATGTTCATTGCCGCATGTTCATAATAGCATAAGTTGGAGTAAGCTTGAACTCCATTGGCGGAAGAAAAAGTGAATACAATGTGGTGTCATCATTTGATTTTATTTTTTACATCTGTTTAACATTAATTATAAGATGTCCTTTTATTCACATACTAGCATCTCCAAAATCAGGTATCTTAACAATCAGTGGTGCACCACAGTTTAACTGACAGATACCTCCCTTCATATCACACAAAATATTGATGCATCTTTCAATAGATTATGTTGGCAAAATAAGTAAATATTATCATGGCAGAACCACAACATTAGGTCAAGTGAAAAAACAAAAACCTGTTGCAGAATGATATAATAAGTATGTTGCTGTTCATACTTTAGGCACTACATATTTTAGAAACATGCATTTTAAAATATTAAATGTTTTGGCACTACATTTTTAGAAACATGCATTTAAAATTTTTTTTAATAGATTAGAGGAGTATATATCTAGTTAGAATTACATTGAGGAGGAAATGTTAGCATTATTATATTACAGTAATATGTATTTTATTACTTAGTTGCATTTTACCCCTCACCTCATAAAGCACAAAGATGATTACGTACTCAGTCAAGAAGCAAACATCAGTTCTGAGTAGTGGGAACATGGTTATTTGCAAAGTTTTGTGCCTTTATTTAGTCTCAGAACTTTAATAAAACATATACACAGGTGAAAGATAAATTAATGGCTTTGTTTTAATGAATTCTCTGTACCTTGTGCTGTGTGTGCTGGTGTTAAATGTTTTAAGGATATAAACTACTACCTGAGGATATTACAAACTCTCATAATGTACCTGTATGTATAATATACCTGTGGGGAGATGGGAATTGTACATGTATACATGCCATGGTAGAGCATATAGAGTAATTGGGGGAGCTTTTAAGATGTTGGTTATTGATCCCTTATTTTTTCATGTATAGTTTCCCAGATATGCTGAGATTGTCCACTTGACGTTACCAGATGGCACGAAGAGAAGTGGGCAAGTTCTAGAAGTTAGTGGTTCCAAAGCAGTGGTTCAGGTAAGCATCATTTTCAAAACCTGGCTATTTCATCTTTTTCCCAATCACAAAACATAAGGAATACTGGTTGTTTTTTCTAGCATCACAGAATAAGTATATCTTTAGAGATTAATTACTGACTGGTGGGGAGGGGTGGATATTTTTGCATGTCTTCTTTCCAAGTACAGGACACCTATATCCATTCTAGCCCAGTTAGCTCCACTGGTAAAATGGCTTCCTTCCCCCTACCTGCCTCCGCAATGGGTCTAATGGACAAGATAATCATAGGAGAGGTGAAAGCAGAATTCAGTTTATGGGATGAAACTGAAAGAGTGAGTCTGTTTCTTTAAATTATCTATTATAATTCCTAGTTTTTTATGTTACTGATTCTGGGAAATTCAAGTTTTCTCAGATAACATGTTCCCCTAAAAAATTAACAGAGCAAGGTCAGCAGAATTTCTGTAAATTGTCAGGTAGTAAACTTTCTAGGCTTTGTGGGGTCATCTAAAGTCTCTGAATTGTTCATTCTTCCTTTGTTCTTCTTTTTTAAATAACCCTTTAAAAGTGTTAAACACATTCTTAGCTTGCTTAATAGATTTGCCCCACAGACATCACCCTTGGTCTAGAGGTTAACAGTGTTGTTCATCACCATGAACATTTCTTTGTTCATCATGTCAAATCTGATAACACATTGTATTTTACTTTATGTGGGCTGTTAAACAGATAAAAATAAAATTAAGTGTTTATGATGTAAATTTCTTTTAACCTTCTGATTACTTCTCTTTCTTGATAGGTGTTTGAAGGGACTTCGGGTATAGATGCCAAGAAAACATCCTGTGAGTTTACTGGGGATATTCTCCGAACACCAGTGTCTGAGGATATGCTTGGTAAATGAATGCTGTAACTCATACTGGGCAGAGGTCTGTTTCCATAAAGTCTTTTTAAAAATGTGAATATTTGAGTTATTATCCACTCTGTCCTGTCTTGTTATTGTGTCATAGGTCGGGTATTCAATGGATCAGGAAAACCTATCGACAGAGGTCCTATTGTACTGGCTGAAGACTTCCTTGACATCATGGGTAAGGGCATTAAATGAATTTCTGTGTTTTGGAGAAAACAGCCTCTATCTGTCTTACACCTGTGCCAAATAGTGATTTTTTGTGTATGCTATTATAAGTAGATAACCAACACATTCCGTATTTAATTATTTTATTTATTACATAATAAATTAATTTTTCTAGAAATAATCTTAAAATGTATATAAAATATATTAAGATACTTCAGACTAACACGAGGCTATACCCAAAATGTAAATAGTAAAACCATTGCTCTGAAGTAGGATTTTTCTTATTTGCTATATCTTTATTTCACTATAGAAATTGAGTTCTGCTACTGTATTTTTCATCCATCTACAAAAGACTAATGGAAAAAATTTAAACAGTTTCAGATTTCCAAAATAACTGATTTTTTTAAGAATGGAAAGAAATCCTGTATATGAGTCTAGTCTTAACTACAACTGTATTAAAATTTTCTCTTTTGGAAATGCATTAGGCCAGCCAATCAATCCTCAGTGTCGAATATACCCAGAGGAGATGATTCAGACTGGCATTTCCGCCATAGACGGCATGAACAGTATTGCAAGGGGGCAGAAAATTCCCATCTTCTCTGCTGCTGGCTTACCACACAATGAGGTGAGAACTAGGATCTGCTTAATGTGATGTTTAACAAGGAAGGATCTTTAAATGCTTCACTGTTAATAAGAAACCAAATAAGGGGTTTTCAACATAAATATTATAATCCAGTTACATTGAATGGCTGTCCATGCATGATACCAGTCTTCTTGCTTAATTACTATTACAAATCTTTGCAAAAAGTACATTATTTTGTTAGTTAAAGTCCTTTAAAACATCCCAGTTTCATTTATAATTGCAATTCACAGAAGTTTAGGATAAAAGTTACTTTGTTGTAGGAATGTTATTTTAGATTTCAGCTCAGTTCTTTTGTATTCTTCATCAGATTGCAGCTCAAATCTGTCGCCAGGCTGGTTTGGTAAAGAAATCCAAAGATGTAGTAGATTACAGTGAGGAAAATTTTGCAATTGTATTTGCTGCTATGGGTGTAAGTATTTCTTTTTCTGTTTCAGTATGAAATATAAAATTCTTACGTTATTTTAACAATATAGAAAACTGTGTGTGTATATATATATGTCATTGAATATATCTTTGGGTAGGGAAATTGCAACTTGGCATTTTGGGCAAACTACGGATTAAAATTTGGCATTTGTGAACTTGAAGAATAATTCTCTCTGTATGAGAAGTGGGCTTTTTACTCTGTTGGCTTTGTGAAAAGTGTTGGGGTATTTGAAACTTTAAAGGAAGGAAAGATACAGATCCATAGCTTACCATTCATCAGAAATAAATACTCAGAATTTTTCTCCTCCCAGCACTGATGAAGTCATTGCTATTTAGGTAAACATGGAAACTGCCCGGTTCTTCAAATCTGACTTTGAAGAAAATGGCTCAATGGACAATGTCTGCCTCTTTTTGAACTTGGCTAATGACCCAACGTAAGTAAATAGAGCTATTTCTTTCTGTTCACTCAGGCTTCAGGTCAAAATGTTACCTAAGGTGAGGGAGGTAAAATGCGAAGGCAGCGTGGGCCAGGAATGAGGTGACTGTAAAACCCAGCTCTGCTTCTTGCTGGTTACTTGGCTTTGGGCAGAGCTCTTAGGCTCTGAAGCTCAGTTTCCTCTTTGATCAGATGTGAGAAGTAACACTCGTCTCACAGGTGGGTGGGCATATTAAATGAGATAATGTATATAAACTACCTAGCACACAGTCCATACTCAATGAATAATCTTTTCTCTTACCTGAAAAATCTGGTCCCTATTTCTTCCCTCCCTTTCTCTCTGTTTCTCTCCTCTCTGTCTCAGTTTTGAGAACTGTATGGTTCTGAGACATAGGTAGTCATTTTAACTTTGTAGCATTCAATAATTCTTAGATAATTACAAAATAAGTGCTTTACTTAAGAACTTTAAAAGTAATTATTGCTTTACCCTCATCAATCTACTTAAAACTTGAAAAGGGAGATTGTACTATTATTTCCAGAATCATTTTGTTTTATTTTTGGCCTTTTTGTTTGACAAAGGACTTAATGTTCCATTTCAGTATTGAGCGAATTATCACTCCTCGCCTGGCTCTAACCACGGCGGAGTTTCTGGCCTATCAGTGTGAGAAACATGTGTTGGTTATCCTAACAGATATGAGTTCTTATGCAGAGGCACTTCGAGAGGTAATTTTTTTCTCAATTAAAATGGACTAATTTTCAGAGTTATCTTGTCCCTTCACAGGTTTTTGCCTTTCTTTAATCATGTTTTTTAAACTTCATTGCTTATGGATTTGTAGAATACCGTAATTAATCAGAAAGGAAAATACATTCTTTTCTGTCAGCTTAGTTGAAATGATTAGAGGATGAGATTTAAATCATTAGCTTGTTGGTCACCCTGTCACTGTCCCCTTGATTCTAAAGTAGAGTAAATGATATAGATATTTCAGTTAATGTTCTAGCGAGAGAGTTCTGTTTCCATCCATTTTTAATTATCTTTTTTAATCCTTTTTGGAGTCTTATTTTTAATGATGCTTGTATTTAAATAAATAAAAGCCGTAGTCTGGCAGCATCCTCTTAAGAACTTTTTCCTTCAGAAAATCCTAGCATTTATCACCCAGAGTTTGGGGTGTTTGTTCTAATGCAAGTTACTGAAATTTTGAATAAGTTACTCTTTTAAGCATGTAAAAGGAAAAGGCTTCTGAAGAGACATTTTCTATAAATAACCAACTTCTCAAATCCCTAAGCTCCATCACCATGTTACTTCAGTGTAGGACTTGTCTTCCCCCATCCACCACAGACCAATACTTTTCTAAAATACAGCAAAAAGGGAACATTTTTAAAAAGATACATGCTTTATAAGCCCAGACTTTTTTTATTGGGTTCAAAAGACATTAAATTATTCTGTCAAGTTGCCATTACAGTTTTCTAAATATTTTTCTTGCTTTCCGTGTTACCTCAGTGCACAGGGATGAAAGCTGGTATGCAGACCATGCTCTGAGTAGCACTGCTGCAGCTCACACTCTGGAGGTGCTAAAGTAGCACTTTAAACGTTGGTCTTAATGATTTAGGGTTCCTGATGGTTGTAGATTAATAGGTATGCCTGTATTCCAGTATGCATGTCTCAAAGAAAGACCACTTATGACTTATTTTCATTTCGTGCAATGAATGGACTCCTGGCTCTGGGATCTTGGGAATTATTTAATTGACCCTTGATTCCAGCTGTAAATTGGGGTTAGCAGTCTTACCTTTTTCAAAAGGTTGTTGTGAATTAAATGATATGTATGAAGTGCATGAAATATTTCATTCCTTTTTAACCTTTTCAGGATTAGCTTGCATAAATATGGCAAGATCCATAGCATGAAATACATTTTGTGAACTAAGAATATTCTCTTAATTAACTTCCTTTGATATATAAAATTGCAAATAGATTTTATTCTAGTAAGGTATTTGGAGATTTGCATTGTGACCATGTGATTTTAGCAAAAAACTTCTGGTCCCCAGTTGACAACATTTTTGTTGCAGAAATAATTAGAACTTGTAGATTTTTCTAAATCATCCTATAGAGACAGTATTCAAAATGAAAAATGGTATTTCCAACTTTGTAATTTGTCTTGTTCAAACAAGCGTGTTCTAACCAAGCCTTACTTTTCATGTTCCTGGTGTGTGACATCCTCCTTTTTGACTTACTGTCAGGTGTCAGCTGCCAGGGAAGAGGTTCCTGGTCGACGAGGTTTCCCAGGTTACATGTATACAGATTTAGCCACAATATATGAACGTGCTGGTCGAGTGGAAGGTAGAAATGGCTCTATTACTCAAATCCCTATTCTCACCATGCCTAATGATGGTAAGTTTTTGGTTTTTGGATTTCAGCAGACCTCACTGTAAGGGCTTTGATTCTAAGAGAGAAGACCATCTACCTTTCTGAGTTGAAATTCTTTTGACAACTTATCCTCCAAGAGTTTACCTGAACTAGTAATTTGCACCTAAATAAACATTTTCACGTGAAAACTGTCCATAATAATAATCCTTTTGTGGAAGAAAAATAAGTTTCTCTGTAATTTAAATTTTTATTTTTCATTAAGTACTACAAAGTGCCTGCCGTTTGTAGGACACTGGACTAGATGTAAGAAACTTTTTAAAATATGTATATATGGTCTATAATGTAAGTTACTCTGTCTAGTTGGATATTTTTTATGTATATACATCAGTAAGGTAACTAAAGTGCCAAGTGAAGAGCACAAATAGTAATGCAACAAGACCTCAGAAACACTGATGAATAAGTACTTGCTTTTCTTCTGCATGTCGGAAGCATATCGTGCAATGCCTGTTGAAATGTGTGCTCCTTGGGGGACACTGCTCAGCATCCGCCTTTTCTTACTGCCTTTTTTTCCTCTTACCAGTTTTTAAAATGGGCTTTTATAAGGTAGTTTCGGGCATAGGGTTGCTCACTATAGCTAGGCACTGTTCTGAGTGCTTTATAAATATTGACTCATCTGCTTCTCACAGCGACTTTGGGGTAGGTGCTCTAATCTAAGAAACAAGGAGGGGAAGTGTCTGCCAAGGTTAGGAGGTGATAGCTTTTGAACCCAGGCAGTCTGAGTCCGTAATTCACACTAACCGGTACACTGTGTGTCTCTTGACATAAAAATGATTTGTTTTGTTCCAAGGAGGTAGCTACAGATTTACCTGGTATAATTTAACAGAAATGGCTTTTTTGTGTGAGACCTTTTTAGCTGCCTACACAGCGTTGCTTTACATGTCTGGCATCCCTGTATTTTCCATGAAATGTTGCCCATCCATCAGATAGCTTTTTGAATAAAGAATGTTTTCTCAGTATACATCAAATTGGCAAATCTCTGCAGGGAAACTTTGTGTTTAAAATGGAATTTTGTTTATATTTTGGAGAGAGGTTCATATAACTAAGAGAAATAGTACTTTTTATGAATGCAGCTAATTTACTGTATGTGCCAACGCAGGTCTGACTGTGCTTCATTTCAACAAATTAAACCGTCCAGTATGTTGACCTCCAGCCACATTTGGCTATTTAAATCCCACAGTTAATTAAAATTAGATAAAGTTTGAAAAAAAGTTTCTCATATCAGCCACATTTCAAGTGCCCAGGAGCCACATTTGGCTTGTGGCTACTGTACTGGATATCACAGATCTAGAACTTTCCTATCACCACAGAAAATTACCCTGTATGGTACTGTTGTAGGCAGTGCTGCTGGTAGTGCAGATGGACTTTGTTCCCATGAGATGGACACTTTAACTAATGTGAGATGTCTTCCTCTGGTAGATATCACTCATCCCATCCCTGACTTGACTGGATATATTACAGAGGGGCAGATCTACGTGGACAGACAGCTGCACAATAGACAGGTATTGGACACCTGAGCGATTCTGTAGAGCTTGCAGGTCTGCTCCTCAGTTACTCTTTTGTGACTTTGACTTTGCTGTTGGAAATACTTGTTGAGAAGACAGCAACTTTGGTTTTTAATATGGCTATAAAATTGTCATTTCTGTATACTAAAATCCTGATGTGGATAAGAGTGCCAGAATTAAGAATTAAATATCCATGTTCCTTTGTTGCGCCTTAAAATGGAGTCAGTTGTCTCAAAGAACCTATATGGGGGGGTATTCTATTCCATAATGGCATAATCTACCAATCTTGTTATTAATACAAAAACAGATTTTTTTCTTTTTTAATTGAGGTATAATTAACATTCTATTAGTTTCAGGTACACAGTGTAATGAAACTGCCGTTTGTACAGTTTATTTTTGCAATTTAATATTGCAAAATGATCACCACAAGAAGCAGGTTTTTGTTTTTGTTTTTGTTTTTGTTTTTGTTTTTGATGAGAACTTTGAAGATCCACTCTCCTAGCTACTCTCAAATATGCCTTGCAGTGTTATTCACCGTGGTCAGGAGGCTGTACATTACACTCCCGTGACTTAGCTCATTCTGTAACTAGAACTTGGTATCTTTTGACCCACTTCACCCATTGTTGCCTGCCCCAGCCTTAGGCAGCTGCCACCAATCTGTTCTCTGTATCCTTGAGCTTAGGGGTTTTTTTTTTTATTTTTGGCTTAATTTTTCTATTTTTTAAGATTTTACATATAAGTGTGATCATACAGTATTTATCTTTTTCTGTCTGACTTACTTCACTGATTGTAATGCCATCAAGGCCTATAGCAAGATTTCATTCCTTTTGTGGTTGAAAAACAAAAACAGTACTTGGTGATTCTGTAACAGATGCTGGTTTCTAATATCAGCTTTGAGGTGGAATTATTGTTAATCTTTATTTTGTATGTGAGTTTATGGGTCAGAGTTCAGAAGACCATTTGGATTTCATGTTGTAGGTAGATGTTGAAAATTAAGTTTTTCAGTATAATCATATGCTGTTTTGTAGATTTTACTTTTCAGGTTTGATTCCCAAAGGAAATACATGTCATAAAGTGTTACTTCCTTTTCCTACTAGGAGAAGATACTAGAACTCATCTAGGAAACAAATGCAGTAGTTTTATGGAATTTAAAGAATAATGAGTTTCAGTTGCTTCTTTACTACCAGTAAAGCTTGAATTTTATATTTAAACATAGTCTTTTTTCCTTCCATTCTACCTAAGATTTACCCGCCTATAAATGTGCTGCCCTCATTATCACGGCTGATGAAGTCTGCCATTGGAGAAGGCATGACCAGAAAGGACCACGCTGATGTATCCAACCAGCTGGTAGGTGTAGCCTCGCAAGGGTGGCAATTAAAGAAGTAAATACCTTTCTTACCCCTCTTCTCTCTCTCCCATATCACTTTACTTCTCCCCTAACATTCAAGTAGAATTTTAGTATAGGCGTCATGTGGAATATATAATCATTCATTAGAACTAAGCAGCCTTTTTCTGTAAGAACTGATTTTGATGACCAAGATGAAAAATCATGTGTTTGAAACCCACATCTAATGCTATATAATTTCTAAATAAAAAACCAAGACATAAAGCCATTTTGTTTATTAATAGCCTTAATGATAATTATAAAGTATTCCTTGTTTAACATGTTCAACAATCACCAGACCTAAAGAGATATAGCTTTATATATTCTGAGATCCTTGTTTTCTATAATCATACGAGATTGTATCACAAAGCACAAACAAACAAGAGTGCTTCACCTTACAGTAGAAATGGCAGACCTGCTCATACCACAAATATTTATTTCTCTTGAATAGAACTTAGAGATGGATTTCTCCATGGTATGAGTTCTTATTTTTAAATGCTGTATAAAATGTAAGCTCATTGACAGTTGATGTGTATTTTTTTTGGAGTGTTAGTAATGTCTTTGTACTGAATGCCTGAAGACTGCTTAGACTACTTTATGAGTAAAGGTCTCATACTTTAATTTAAGTTTTATGTGAACTGGGTTTGGAAGTAATGTGAAATTCTTTCTGTGGTCTGTTATGGACATAGCCACAGCAGTACACTTAAAGTAGCCCAGATTACTGTTAACATTTAAGAAATCTTATCTCTGTTCACCTAAACCTTTTTTCTCCTTAGTATGCATGCTATGCTATCGGTAAGGATGTACAGGCCATGAAAGCCGTAGTTGGAGAAGAAGCCCTTACCTCAGACGATCTTCTTTACTTGGAATTTCTGCAGAAATTTGAACGGAACTTTATTGCTCAGGGTAAGACAACTACTTTCTTCTAAACATGAACAGCTGCATATGTACTTTTAAAGACTTTCCCAGGCTGAGAGAATTTTACGTTGGTCTCAGTATGATTTTCCTTCTGATTAGATGAGGTTCTTCCAGCTTCCTGTCCTGTCTTTGCATTTCGCCCTCTGGCTCCTTCCCTGCTGCTTTCAACTCTGTTACCTGAATTTTCCCTTCCTTATACCTGGTCTTCTGCTCTGCTGCCTCCATTTCTGGTTCTCCTTCCTCCTGACCCCTCTGCAGTGGTCTGCTCTGGCTTTGGGGGTTTGGGACTTTTCTGATTCATCTATTTTTATCTCCATTTTAGATTTAAGTATTTTAAAGAGCTCCCTTCTAGCTCCTTAATTATTTATGTTCCCAAAGGCTTACTTATTTGTTCTTTCTGGGCTTTTCCCCCCACAGCTTTGACTTTTCCCCTATGCTGTTGACTGAACTGTCATGTATTATCCTTACCCGCCTTCTGAAGCTCTTTTAAATGCCGCATCTCCAGCTGGAATACCTTTGTTTACCCATCGTCACCTCAGGGTCACAGTGATCAGAACCAGTGTTTTATGCCAACTGACTACCTGCCTAACAATTCCCTTTTTATTTTGCCCACCTCTGGCACAGCTGTCCTACAGAGCCCAAACTCAGTACCTAGGCATTGTCCTGACCCTTCTTTACACATTCTCCTGGGATCCAAGATTTACCAATTTGTGGTGTTGTCCTTTAAAATATCTTACTGTTTTCAGTCCCATTACAGTACCTTAGGCCAGTGTTTCTCACATTTTAATATGCTTTTGAATCAGCTGGGGATCTTGTTGATATGCAGATTCTGATTCAGCAGATCTGGGTGGGTCCAGAAATTCTGTACTTGACAAGTTCCTGGATGCTGGTGATACTGGTGATCTCGGACACTGAGTGGGACCACACTGAGTCTTACGTCCTAGGTCAAACCCTTGTCCCGTCATCCCTGGCCATTGATGCCAGCTCTTTCTCCAGCTTTCCTGACTTCCTGATACCAGAGTAAATTCATTACTAATTTTATTAATTGTTCCTCTACTAAAAAAGTCTGTATTGGTTTTCATTACATAGCACCTGTAGGGTTTTCAGGCTGTTTCACTTGTCTCCGCTGTACCTGTGCCAGAGCTGCCAGTACTCTCTGCTTGGCCTCATTGGTACTCAGAGCAGATGTGTTGAATTCAGAATAATGCATGAAGCTACACACGTAGGATTTGTGCACTTTCCTATATATATATATACAGTACATTTTCTTGTTAACATTAAACTCCCCAACATATGTGTGCTTGTTGTTTGTTTGGATTTTTTATGCAGAACCTTAATACCTTTAGAATATAAAAATGACATTCTTCTGGTAGAGAAAATAACCCAGAACTCCAGTCACTCTGACTCCTTAGTTATAAAATGAGATTTATTTACAGGATAAAGGTGATTCTCGTATTAAAAAATAATAACTGAAAATTATTGGTGTTTATGTGGCATTTAAGGCTCTCTAAGTGTCTGTACTAGCCTCCCTCAAATTTAGCCTCTGTTCCTGAGAAACTGCCTTTTTCACTGAGCTTCAGACAAAACACTAACTTCCATGAGGCAGGGTATTTAGGTCCTACCCAGTTGTCAAGAAAGTTCCCCCGACCCACTCCCTCTAGACTGCCTGCTGTCCCTTGTCCAGGGCACTCCCTTTCCTCTGGTTCCCGGTGCTGGCTAGACCTCTGCATCTGACCTTCCCTGTCTGGACCCTCATTTCCAGTCCGTCACATACAGTCTTGGGAGATCTAACTGCTTCTCTCTTCTTTTTTGTATATTCTGCTCATAGTGCTGGTCATATAACAGAATAATACTGAGTAACACTGAGAAGTTGGAAGTAGTTTGCCTTTATTCATTCAATCTCAATTTTTTGTAAGGTCCTTACGAAAACCGCACTGTCTTTGAGACTTTGGACATTGGCTGGCAATTGCTCCGAATCTTCCCCAAAGAAATGCTGAAGAGAATCCCTCAGAGCACCCTGAGCGAGTTTTACCCTCGAGACTCTGCAAAACATTAGCTGCTGCTCCATCACCGGCTCAATACTCTTGTGAAATGCTGATTCTGTTTTCTTTATTCCCTGTAAGTGCACCAACCCCACCTTGAATTGGAGTTTACTGTGTTACCCTGTAATTAAAAATGCAGAATAGGTAACATATTGTGCCACTGTTGCAATGTCTTAAACTGCTAGCAGGTTTTAAAATATCCCCCTATTCAGAAAACCTGGATCCTCAATGCTGTGTTTAAAGCAGCTGCAGGGATGGAGGTGAAGTTTTCTTCCTGATGCGTTTGTGCACAGTGGTGTAGTTAGTTGCCTTATCACGTCCTCATTATTTCGGTCTCCTAGACCTTACCTCTCAACCCCCTCAAAGTATCGATATATGAAGTTAAAATACTTCGATTTCCAAATTAGGGTCAGAATCAGGTCTGAAAGCATCCTTTTGGAAGAGCCAAAAGGCTTCTTCCTGAGCATTTGTTTTTGTATGGTTGGCGTGCCTCCAGGTCTACACTGCTTGCTCTAAGCAGATGGTTTTTACTGTCTACCTTCTCTTTCCTGTTCAATGACGGGATTAGAAAAGGAGTTTCCTCTCCTCTTTAGTCCGTGTGAGTCAGGACTCCTGTGTGTGAACTTTCTCGCCCCCTCTGAGTAGCACTGAGTCATGCAGCTTTTGCACAGCTGGCATTGATCTGGTAGAGTGAGATGCCTGGCCTTGATCCTTACTGGCTTTCCATGCAGAGGAATCATTAAAATAACTACTGGAACTGTTGCTTGGAAAGAATTGGGGTGTAATAAAGATGAAGAAAGGAAAACCTGTATCTGTTCTACATTCTGACATGCTAACAGTGGTGTAAGTTTCTAAAGTGTTTACCAGATGCTGAAGGCAAGGCGGGAAGCTCACGTATGGATATTCTAAACTCTGAGAGCAGCCTTTGGAAAATCCTGTTTGGTTCTTTTCTGACCTATCTTTGCCTTTTCAGGGTAATCTTGTGGCACGGTGATAGCATTTACAAGCTTCAGCCTGTTAATTCCTGCTGCTTCTTGCTGTGAGCCCTGAGCTGTCTTCTGTGCACTCCTGCCCTGTTTGGTCTCTGTGTTCCTTGTCACTTGGGTACAATAGCAACTTCTCAGCTCTCTGCATTCCATCTTTCAAGTTGTGTAAAGTTCTTCCTTTTTTTCTCTGAGGGTATAGTGGGTGGGGTGGGGGAGACAGCATGATTATATTTAATGTAGAAAATGTGACATCTGGATATAAAATGAAAATAAATGTTAAATTAAATGGAAGTTACATAAAGTGATTCTGTCTTCTAATCAAAAAAGCAGTAGCAACGCATACATAATGTATAAAATGCAACTCTTTGATTCAGTTTTGAACATCGCAACCAGTACTGTGGACAGCCCCCCTGTGTAGTAGGGCCATGCCATGCCCAGGTTTTATACCCTCTGTCTCCGAGGCTGCCCTTTCAAGCTCTTTTCAGTAATGTCTCCTCAAACACACTAGTCGGATCCAAGGACGAAAGCTGCTGCAGGTCATCGAGAGCAGTCTTTTTGTTTCAGACATTTTCAGAACCTCTAGACCCATGGATGAAAGAAGGTGATAAATAGGAAATGAAATACCTATTGAAGAAGCCAAAATTGTATATAAAAACATGCTGGTTAAAGCCCAAGGGTGTGGCATTTGGAGGCTTCCCTTTCACTCCCTTCTTCAGTTGAAGGCAGCTTTTAGGAGACGTCGGGGAAAGGCTCAGTCAGGGCAAGAACTGGGTAGAATGGGCTCTGATTCTGACTGTCAATAACTGTGGCCTCACTTAGTCATCTAACAGATTTGAGTATGTGTGCTTATGTTCCTTTTAGGGTTGTCATAAGGAGTAGAAATTTTACATGTAAAACCCTAGAATAGTGCCTGGCCCATGGTAGGCACCGTAGTAGGCTATGAATTAGCTTAGTGAAAACTAAAAGACCTTTATTAGGGCATTTGATTTGATTTGATTCATTACTCTCATGTAATACTTAATATTGTTTAGCACTCTTGTTAGTTTACTTATTTTTTTAGTGAAAACATTTTCTTAATGCGCCTTTTTGTACTAGTGATAAAACCTGATTAAAAAGTGCAGTTTTAACATGGACTCCTGCTATTAATTAAATTTTCTAAGAAAAAGACTTCATTTCAGTCAGCTTCAAGTATTTGAGAAGGGAGAGGTGTCTGAAGATCAGGCTGAGTAAACAGCTCACTGAACTGACTGTTTGCAGTTGACCGTCACTTCAGTTGGTGAGATTCCATGTAAGTGAAAAAATGTTCTCAGACAAGTGTAATAAATACCTCACTAAGATATTTTATTTTCAGTAAATGGAGGTGGTGTAGTGTCTTGAGGTCAACAACACATTGTTTTTGAAATTTTCTGTTAACACTAGTAAGGGCAAGTTAGCTTAATCCAATATTAGGAGGCAACGAAAAATAGTTCCTGAGACTAAGCTAAAAACACCATTTGGAGACTACCCAGAAAACCATAGCGAGGTAAGTCAGCAGGGAAGATGATCTTTTGTGGGAAAACTCAAGTACAAAGAAGTTTTTTAAAATGAAAGGTAAATTCTTTACTCATTTCCCAACTGGTTTTATTAGGGGGCTGAGCCCCCATCCAGCACTCAAACCATGTGGCATCCTCAGCCCCCTCCTCCATATGAAGCCCCTCAGTGGCAGCAGCGAGCTGTGACTGATGTCGAGAAACAATGAGAAATCCCTTCGAGTGACTAATCACAGAACTTTCTATCCTCAGCAAGAGTGGCAAAACCTGACCAGACAGCTTGGTGAATGCTCTCAGACACATGGACAACCTGGGAGTAGTTAAATCCCTCCCCAAGGTTGAAGACAGGATGAGTAGGATGCGCAGCTGGCCAGTCTCTTTTATGAGGGTCCCCAGCCTAGAACAGAGCCCGCGGCCATTTGCTGTGCTCAACAGCTGTAAGTAGTACACATGTGGAGGCCACTTTTCTCCACAGATTTCATTGATGAACTTAATAAATTTGTGACTTGCTCAAGGTCACAAAAGGAGTGGCAGAACCTGAGCTGGAACCTGGGCCCTTAAACCGAGTGTGCTCTCTCCATGGCATGGTAACATCCACAGGCCTCGCCGTAAACTGAATTGGTTTGTACAGGATCCAACTAATCTCTGAAGACCAGTATTTTGTATAGTGGCTAAAATGCTATTATTTTATGGGACATAATGGTGGTGTAAACATTAACGAGAGGCCCTGATGGGCATGGGTCAGGAACTTCGGGGCTCATGCCACAAGGGTAAGCTTTTTGAGCAGGGGCTGATAATATATGCAGACAAGTAGCCTCAAAATGCACCTGGGATCCTTTCTGAGTGGTTGTGCTCTTCATCTCCACAAGAGGGAGCAGCCATGCCCTGGCTGCACTTGGAGCTCCGGAAATGGAGGTTTTTCAGCTGCAGCAGCAGGCAGTCAAGAGTCACTGAATCAGGTGGTGGTTTTAGGAGCTGCACATTAGCCTGGGGTTTATAAGGGAACGTGTTCTAATGAAAATAAGCCAAAACAGAATTGCTGCAAAGAGCCTGGGACTAGAATAAAGACGTCTGGGTTAGGAGGATTGCAGAGATTGCCTGATCCGACTCTGTCCTTGTAACAGGTTTTTTTCTGCATCTGGTGCAGTGAGTTGGGTGGATATGGAAGTGTCTAAGCAGGCAGTCCACTCCAGGGATGCCTTTCATGTTTAGAATGCCCTTCCCAGTCAGGTATGACTTGCCTCTAAGTTCACGTGTGGTGATAAGGGAATTCTGGTCTTCTGATCTATCCACTACTATCTTCTCCAACTGCTTCGATCCAAACCTTGGAGGGTTGAGGAAGCCGCCCCTCATTATGTTCCTTCCCATGCTTCCCTTCCCCTGTCCCTCAGGCCTTTTCCATGTGATGACCCACCACCACCACCACCACTATCATTTTGAAGCTTGTGGCCACTTCTCTTCTTCCCAGGAGAAGGTCTCCAGAGCAGTGGCTGGAAATACTGAACACGGTCTTTGGAACCAACTCTCACCAAGGCCGGGACTCTGATACAAGCTTGGGGTACTAGAAATCTCCATATGCTCTGAGTTAAGACATTGTGTTCCTGGTTCTGCTGTACTTTTTCTCAGGATCTGCTCTTTAGCACTCAGGTGTAACCCTAGCACTAGGGAAGTTTCATTAATGGTTTACTTAATAGATACTCATTGTCCAGGTAAGACTCTAAAAATACAAGTACAAAGAAATAAGAATCTTATGATCCTGTCACTCAGAGGAAACCATTAACATTCTGTCACAAAAACCCTTAGGAATCATGACTACCAACTGTGGCTGCGCCCACCTATCTTGGTAAAAGCCAAAGCCTGTGGCCATGATGGGTTCTTTATCAAACAGACCATGGAGACAAGATCATGGGAGTCACGTCAAGAATTTAAACTACATACTCTTTTAATACTACACTTACAAAACACTGAGCCATGAGGCTTAATGTGTGTCAGTTAAAACAACACAGCTAGCAACAAAAAGGAATTTCAAAATAAAGTTCTTGTGTTTGGATTTCTTCAGCGATCACAAGGGAATTCTGGTCTTCTGATCTGTCCACTGCTGTCTTCTCCAACTCCTTCATTCAAAACCTTGTAGGCTTGAGGAAGCCGCCCCTCATGTTCCTTCCCATGCTTCCCTTCCCCTGTTCTGTCAGGAGACCTCAGGTGGAGTCAGGCCAAGGCCTCTAGTAGTAAGGCTGAAGTGTGAGCAAAGCCAGAAGCCCCCAGCCCCCTACTGGCAGGCAGGGCAGGGCCAAGCTGGAGGTTGGGGTGCTTGTTTCTGGGCCAGCCAGAGAGGGACTTAGCCCAAGACGTATACCCCTCAGTCTTCAATAACCTGAAAATACCAAGCTGTTATGTGTGTGTGTTGCCAAGGATTCCAAAGATAAAAAGAACAGGAGAATGAAAGGTGTTTTAAGCAATAAAGGTTGGCATGAAGAAGTTTAATCAGGTTCTGTCTGCATTCCTCGGTTTTCAGGAGAATCTGCTTAGATCATAACCTAGAGCACTAATGTGCCCTGGACCATCGCAGGTCGTGCAGGAGAATGGGTACTACTGTGCGGGGCTTTTAAAACAAACTCTTTATTGAGATGCAATTCATATACCCAACAATTCACCCATGTATAGTGAGCCATTCAATGTTTTTTAGTATAGTCACAGTTATTCATCACCATGATCAATTTATAACATCTTGATATCCCCCCCCCCAAAATTTGTACCCATGAGAAGTTGTCCCCATTTCCTCCCCAACTTTATCAGTCCCTATGCATTTGCCTATTCTGGACATATCATATAAATGGAGTCATATACTGCATGGTCCTTTGTGACCATTTCTTTCACTCAGCCAATGTTTCAAGATCTAAGCATGTATCATGCTTCATTTTTTTAATTTATCCATTTATTGGTTGATGGAATTTGGGTTTTCACTTTGGGGCTATTCTGAATAATACTGCAATGAACATGCATGTACACAGCATTATGTGGATATATGTTCTCTTGAGTGAAATTGCTGGGTCATGTGGTAACTCTACAAGTAACATCTTGAGAAACTACCGAACTGTTTTCCAAAGCAGCTGTATTATTTTACATTCCCACCAGCAGTGTGTGAGGGTGGAGTTTTTTAATGCCAAAGAACTTCGTTTGCTTGGGAGCTTCTAGAACTTGTATCATTTGCTGTGCTTTTAAATATATACTTAAAACTTTCTCTTCTTTTTTAAATAGACCTTTATTTACTCTGAGACCGAATGCTTTAATACAGTTGAAACTAAAGATACATACATTATGCATCCTGCCTTATTAATTTACATGAGAAGGTGCACTGATCAAGCATTCAGTGTTTAATGACTAGATAATGCTGTATCACAAATATACCATATTTCCTCTGTTGTTTAATTTTTAGAATATTTTCAACTTTTCACTTACCCTGTTATGAGTTTGTTGGTATATAAATATTTGTATGCAGAGATATTAAGAGATTTCTGAAAGTACAGGACACAGAATATGAACAACACTGAAGCTCTTGACTTAACTGGCAAACCATTTTTTAAAAATATTTATGACAACTTACATCAGTGTATGATTGTTCATCATGTCACAGAATCCAAACTCGTTCCAATCGCTGCACGACATGCCATTAAGTTGAGAGACAAGATGTTGGGGCAAGGAAAATGACTTTATTCGGAGATTCAGCAGACGAGAAGATGGGGAACCTAGGTCCTAAAATACCTTCTTTACACTAGGGAAGGGGGAACACATGGGGACTGAGGTCAGGAGGTAACATTTGACCTCAGACATCTGGATGTCAGCAAGGGTCTGAGGGCTGTAAAACTATCCTTGGTTAGCTGGCTCATCATTTTATTGACATGGGTCTGGTCATGATGTTCCTCTAAATCTTTGACAATCCCGTCATCATTTTTGTATGTACTTCTTTATCTCCTTGGGGCAGGCATGTTTGACGAAAGGGGCTGGTTACATCAATCTTAAGTCTTGAGCAAAATTCCTTCTGATAATTGACAGGCCCACATGCGGGGCTGCAGGGCTAAGCAGAAGCTTTTTGACCCAAGATTAAGCTGCAAAGGAGGCAGATACAACATGGAGGCAGAGATGCCAACTTTTTCACTCCGTGACAATTACATTGTGCTCTGCTGGGCCCTGGGTGTTCTTTCTTGTTAAAAAACAAAATGTTAATTTTAAAGGAAAATTTTCTATTAAAGTGACATATAGAAAATTGCGCTCTCTGTCTCGGTCTCTCTCTCTCTCTTTGTCTCTGTCTCTGTCCCCCTGCTCTCTCCCTCTCTCTCTGCTCTCTGCTCTCTGTCTCTGTCCCCCTGTGCTCTCTCCCTCCCTCTCTCTCTGCTCTCTGTCCCGCTGCTCTCTCTGCTGCTCCCTCTCTCTCTCTCTCTCTCTCTCTCTCTCTCTCTCTGTCTCCCCACCCCCATCTGGGGTAGCCACTCTCTCTTTCAGATAATAAAATCTCTTGCGTGGGAAAAAAAAAAAGAAAATTGCGTACATCGTTAATATGTAGCTTGATATATTTTCACAGTGTAAACACTGCCAACTCACCAGGACATTTCCAGCACCTCAGAAATTACCATCATGCCCCCTTCCAGTGACCAACCATCCTTACTCCCTCCACAGGGAAACCACTATCCTAATTTCTAATGCCATGGGGGTGGGGGGGGGAAAGCCTTGCTAATTCAATGCATAAAAATGTATATATTGTTAAAGTAAACCATCACATTCCCAACCCTGTTAGCCATTTGTGTTTCTTTTGGAAATGCAGGGCCCAGATTTCACAAAAACAGGTTTTCTTATTTCAGGGTCCCTAGCTGAGTGAGGAAAGGGGCCCCACATGATTTCTAAATCTCAGGATCTCAGATTTGACCTATGCTGGGTTCCCATGCCTGTGTCCAGTGTCCCCCTTGGAAACCCTGTGGGTTCTTTGTACCATCTTGCATAGGTAATGTTGGGCTTATTCTTGCCCCTCATATATCATCAAACCAAACTCCAGATGATGCCATGCTAGGAGTCTAAGCCAGCAGAACTTTCACACAATGAAGGAACCATTTTACCCAAGGCAAGACCACTGCTGGGCACATGGCTGTACTCCTTTTCAATTTTTCTGAGGGGTGAAAGCATTTTCTAGAACAGGGAAAAATAATTTCTTGGGAGGCCCTTGATTTTTCCTCACAGATCTTGGCAGAAGCCTGGGATGGGGGAATTCTTGTTTTTCCAGGTCTGGGAACACAGGAGACCTTTCTCAGATCAGACCTGGCATTTTCTCCAGCCCTGCCAGTGAACTCTGTTCCCTAGTCTTCCCCTGTCCTTGAAACCCAAGAATGTACATACAGAAAGCGATGTCAGCACAGGTGCAGGGGACTGGAGCTCCGGGAGAGCGCTCAGTTCTCTGCTGCTGCCGTGTAAGGAGAAGGAATAGGTTCTTCGCTCTCTCTTGGAAGACCGTGTATTGCTCTCTCAGCACCTGACCACCCTTTAACCCACCACATTGCACATTCTTTACAGCCATCCCAAGACAGGGCAGGATGACTTGGCCAAGACTTGCAGAGGTCAGGTAACTGACCCAACTTGATGGTAGAAGAGGGATTGGAACCTGGGGATCCTAAATTCTAGTTAAGCACCCTTCTGTATCTCTGCTGTGGTTCGAAGTCCTCAGACTACGGCAGCCTGTCGTGAAAAGTCATGGGCTTTGGAGAACAACAGTCCCAAGAGGCGGTCTAGGCTCTACCACTAAATTATATAAAGATTGAGCAGAGCTTCTCAGTGGAATGGCTAATCTCAGGGCTGAGGATTGTGTTCCTATGCAAATTCTCTGACCATTTCTGTTTATCCCATCAGTGGGGGTAATAACCACTCTAAACCGTTAAAAATTAAATGAAAACAAAATACCTAGGAGGGTATCTGCTCTTCAATCCCGGCTTTGCTTCTTTCTGATTGAAATATTATGTGATCTCTAGCCCTCCCTTTCTATGTTGATAATAATTATACCTTTTATTTAAAAAAAAAAGACAAACTGCCTATTTATTTTATTAATGATCACCTGGTTTGCAGCTGGAGAAATTAGATGCCCACACCTCAACGACTCTGTCACTTGGTTTCTTCATCAGTAAGACCATCTGAGCTGGGGTCCCCCAGTATCACCTGGTGGCTGTAGGAACCAAAGGTGAATGAAAACCATTTTATAATGCATGATCTCAGAACAAGGTAGAAATAGGAAGACTCCATGTTTCTTAGAATTCACGATCTTAACCCTTAGGTGTCCAGGGGAAGCTAATGTCTTGTGTCTCTCTTATGGCTGGTGAGATACTTTCCATTTTAGTGATGTAGTACAGAAGCTAGGTATTAAGTAACTTGCCCAAGGTCACGCATACAGTATATAATTAACCTGGTTTTAACTCAGCTTGTTCTCCCAAGACAGTGTTTTTTTAGGATAGGAAGGTCATGACCAGGACCTTAAGTGGTATTAGAGAAATGAGACCAAAGGCCACCATGCGGGGTCTGCAGACCCTCTCAGTGGAATGGCTCATCTCAGGGCTGCTAGGGTTGTGTTCCTATGCAAAACTGTTTGGGGCCTTGGGGCAAGAGGGGCTCAGGACAGACATCTTTTTCAGAAAATCAAAATAAAGCAGCAAATCCTAGTGACTGTACAGAATTCTCTCCTCACCTGGCACCACCACTCCCAACTGGATCAGGAGAGACCTCAGATGTTAGCTGGGAGGTATGGCCCACCCCCCACCCCTTGGTGCCCACCAAGAAGCAGGCCTCAGAGGACAGGGGAGGCAGTGACTAGGGGGCCCTCACAGCCTTAGGGACAGCCCAGATCCTGTGGCTCCTGAGGGGCCCAGGAAGGCGTGGGAGCAGGTCTCAGCTCCAGAAGGCTGTCCCCAGCGGGCTGCAGAATCTCAGTGACACAGCCCTGTCCTGTCCGAGAGAGGGTGCCCTTCCCTAAGGAGAAGCTCTGGATCAGCAGCCTTGGCGTCGTCTCCAAGCTGCCGCTGAACATGCCTGAGAGACGGATCCCCCTGCTCTGGCTGGGCCCTTAGACACCAAGCCCCAGCCACCATGCTCCTGGTTTGGTCACTGACGACGCTGAGTGTCAGATGGGCCCCGCATTTCAGATGATGCCTGTCTTCCCTCAGGCTGGGAGCTGTTCGGGGACAGTGCCCTGTTGACCTCAGCTGATCTAGATGTGCACCAGGGCCCTGAAAGAGGCTACTGACCCTGTGCCCGACATGGTAAGGAGACCAGGGCAGCAGAGAAGGAGCAAATCCATGGGCCGGAGGGAGGAAGGAGGGAGGCAGTCCTGCCTCTGCACGTCTGGGAGCCACAGCCGGCCCTGGGAGCTACCCCGCCTGCTGTTTTCCTCACCTCATCAGCCCACCTTCTGGGGGTGGTGCTAGCACTTTCCTGAGGCCCGCTGGTTCCTGTGGAGGAAAAGCCTGTTAAATAGTATTGATAGGCCTTCCAAATACACTGCCCCTTGCCCGTCCCAACGAACGATCCAGGAGGCATTATGACTCATATTTTACAGAGGAGAAAACTAGGGCTTGCCTCAGCTAACTTGGCTAAAGCCCCAGGTTGGCTGAGGGTGAGCCATAGTCACCAAATCTGCTCTGATCGCCAAGCCTCAGCTTTTGGAGCAGAAGCCCCCTGGTTACGGGTGCTGGCTTTGGCCCTGGGTTTGAGATGGATCAAACTGTCACTGGAGCAGCCAGCTGGGACCCCTTCTGCCACAGGGGACCTGTGTACCTCCCCATCACCAAGTTCACTCTCTGATTCTTATCAAAGCCACCAATTGTCCTGTCCCCCTCTTGTGACCGGCCCAGATGCCCCCGGAGCTGTCTGGAAGTAAGCTGCCTGTTAGACAAAGAGCCCGCCCTCCCCTCCCCTTCTCCCTCCTGTCCCAGCCCAGCAGGGACAGCAGGTCTCTAGGCAAAGGGGGAAACAGAACCCAGCTGCCGTATCACACATTAAACACCCTGTTTTCTTAATTCCTCCTCCTGCTAAGTGGCATTACTGGGACTGCCTGGGGCCTGGTTCTTCAGCGCCTGACTGCAGCCAGTACTGCACTGGGAGAGCCGGCAGCTGGCAGGGCGCTTCCTGGCCGCCAAGGGCGCAGATGCGAGGAGGCCTGATTATTCTGGGGGGCAGGCTGCAAGGGGCACATTTGCATTTCAAAAGGGTAAGGCCCCAGTTCTCCACTCTGGGGACCTGGTCTATTCTGGAAAAATCAAGTTGCTTTGAGTGAGTTATACAACCCGGCCCCGCCCCTTTAACATGAGGGCTTTTTAAACAAGCCCAGGAGTTAAAGCCCACCCACTCGCCAGGCATTCCTGGGGGCCCTCCCGGCCTGGCAGCACTCCTTCTGATGTGTTGGTGTGCTGGGGGTAAGGGCCTCTGGTGTGCACCCCACCTTGTAACCTCAGACCTCCCAAACACTCCTTGTTATGGGTTGATTTGTGTCCCCTGAAGGATGTGTTCTTCTCCTGACCCCAGGACCTCTGAACATAACTTTAAGTTGGAAACAGGGTAATTGCAGATGTAGCAAGTTATGATGAGGCAGCCCCTAACCCAATGTGACCTGTGTCCTTAACAAGAAGAGGAGATGCATGGAGAGGATGGCACATAGGGCACCGAGGCCCCCGGGACAAGACAGCCAGGGGAAGCCCAAGGTGAAGATCCGAGTGGTACTGCCACACACTGAGGGGGCCTGGGGCCTGGAAGCTGGGAGAAAAGGGGGAACCCTCCCCAGGATGCTTCCAAAGGAGAACAGACTTGCAACCCCTTGATTTCAGGGTTCTGGCTTCCAGGACTACAGGAGAAGAGATTCTGTTGTTTCAGTCATTTGGCTTGTGGCACTTTAGGCATCCCTAGGACACTAGCAGACCCCTGAAAGGGAGGAGGTGTTTTCCCTGTCTAACTAAAGAGGAAACAGGCTCCAGGAGCTTCCCCGACTCCCTGGGGCAGAGAGCTAAGTCGTGGGGCTGCTGCTGTCTGCACAGCACGCTGTGACACAGCTTCCCAAGGACCTCATCACCGCACTGAGGCAGGGGACACCAGCCCTGGTGCCCGCGCCATCATTAAGCCCACGGTAGTTAAGATGCACCCAGGGCCCTGAAACCACATAATGAAATGGAAGGAAGGCTGGATGAGAAGCTAGAGCCCGCCCTCCTCCACCCAGGCCCACCTCCGCCCTCCCGGGGCCCTGTGTGCGGCTGGCACAGCCTGGCCCCTAATTACTCGCGTTTGCTGTCTTCTCAGATGGAGGCTCCGCCCTGAGCAAGGGAACAGCACCGACCCTTGCCCACCTCTCCCCTCTGCTCAGTGAGTGCGGACTGCCCTTGGCTGGCTTTGGTGCAGGGTTAGCACCCTCAAGCAGTTACAGTCTGGAGGAAAGCATAAAGGATGCCATGTTTCAACTCGTCGCAGGCTTGTGAACAGGAGGAGGCAGTGGGTGACTTAATGGGTCAGAATGAAGGCTGCTGGCATCCACGAGCACTGTTAGGGCCCCACCCACAGCCCAGGCCCGTCACCATAGAACAGCCCCCTCCAAGTTTCTTTTCAGAGGTGTCAGCCGCCAACATTCCAAGGAGTAGAAGCCAGCTTGTGGATGATCCAGGAACCCTCTCCCTCTCTCAGGCTTGGACCCTGCTAGCCTTCTGTATGGACAGGAGGGAGGCTGCCAGAGGCAATTGTCTGAGAGATGGGCAGATGTTACCCTCCCTCCTGGCTGCCAGCATGGCCTCAGGGGTGCAGACGGGAGCATGACAAGGAGAAGACCCCCAAGTGGGGACCAGGGAAGTGTTGTTGCAGCTGCCACAAACCATGTGGGTGCTCCTGGGCCATGTCTCAGCCAGGCAGGGCACCCGTGCTCTGGTCACCTTGGCCTTGGTGGGCTGGGGACCTGAAGCCATGTGAACTGCGCTTCTCCCCACAGGGTCTGGAGTTGCCAGCCACCCTACTCTAAGTGCCTCTGAGAGGAAAGAGGGCCAGTTACTGTGCCTGCCCTTTTTGGGACACAAAGCAGGGGATCACTTGCCAGCCTGGTTCTGCCCTGGCCGCATCCCTGGAAGCTGAAGCAGCCTTAGTGATCCACTGGCCTCATTAGGCTGTTGAATGGAGAAGCCTCACCCTCCCAGGCTGGCCTCCCCATTGTCAGCCATTTGTCGCCCGGCCTTACCCTCTCCTCTGTGCAGAGCACAGAAGCCTGGAAATGGCCATTTCCTCAGTCATCTACTGCCAGGACGGCGTCAGCAGGCAGCCCGCGGTAAGAGGTTTGCCGAGTTTCCTCCAGATCACATTGACGTGTGGACAGGGGAACCGGGCCCTTTGCTCCGGGTCACTGGGGGAAACTGGCAGTGGAGCCCCATGGTAGGTCTGACTCCCCATCCAGAGACCTCTCCCAAGTACTGAGTGCCCGCTGTGGCCGAGGACGGGTGGCCCAGCTCCTGGGGCCACTGCTCAGAGGCTCCCTGAAGCTGACCTCTGGCTCCTGGACAATACACAGAACAACTCAACACAACATGACATGACATGACATGCCCCCAGGCTCCTTTCCATGGCAGCCCCTTCCCATGCGGAAGCACCTTCAGCCTCCTCCAGCCCACACGCACACACTCACACCAACTCCCACATACACCTATGCACATTCACTCACACATACACACACTCACACATACACACACCTTTCAAGCCCTAATTTTCAAAAATCTAGAAAGTAGAGAAAAGCTAAACTGCCTTTTTTACTGGTTTACTGTGTGTGTGTGCGCGCGCGCGCGCCCAAGAGAAGTAAATTAGCTTAATAGGCTTTTGCCTTTTCTGACATAGCTGTGCTGTTTGGGAGTCTGTAATTAGGAAAAGACTCTACCAAGCTAAGATATTGTGAAGATGGTGTGAAATCAAGCCTGGGAACACTCTGCTTTTCTCAGGCTTGGGAAGAAGAGGAGGGAGGTGGTAACCAGATTTTGAGAAACAGGCCTTTGGGCTGGGGGGTTACTCTGGTCTTCCTGTGGCTGTGTCTCTCCGTGATGTAAGCTCTTGCTTGGAGCCGGCTGGTTGGTATTGCTGCAGCCCCTCCCGCTTTCTAAGTATAGTACTTTGAGGCCCAGCCAGATGGCAGCCAGAGCCAGCATTTCCCTGGAAAGCATTAGCTTTCACAGGGCAGGGCCGGGAAACTAGTGCAGGGGCTGGCGGGAATGGAGTGCAGGCAAACGTGCTCAGCCCCCTCTCCATGCCTTCTGTCCTGGGCGGGTCTGTTCCCTTGGCTCCCTGTCCTTACATGAGAGGCTTGAGTGGGTGGGTGGCCCTGAGGTTCCTCCCAGGCTGACCTGTCGGGGGACAACCCACTCCTTCTAGTCTGCTCCTGGCCAAAGCTGGGGCCAGAGCAGGCCGAACCACAGGCTTGCTCAATTGACTGGAGGCTGGGTGGGCCTGCAGAGGTTGCAACGCCACTGTGATGAGCAGCCAGGGAGTAAGGCAGGGCGGGCTGGAATGGACCGACCCTGGCTGTTTGACTCACCCCCGTTTCCTTGCTGTCTGTGCCCATGCCCAGCTCTCCCCGGCCTGAGCCGGCCATCTCATATGACCCCATTTTTCTCCAGGTCTGGAAAAGCCTCAGAAACCCATTCACTTACTCAGGGGTCTCCTCTCCTGAGGTAGCTCCTCTCCTGGGGCAGACGTTCTTCTGGAAGCTCAGCCCAGTGGCATGCCTTTCTAAGGGGAGAATTTCAGGACTGTGACGGGAAGGGCCTGCTGGGGCCTCTCTCAGTCTGTGGGAAGGGGGAGAAGAGCAGCTCAGAACACAGCCTTATATGGCTAGTCAGGGACAGTGGGATCCCTGGCTGGGATAAGGGTGAACGGAAGAGGCAGCCCTGGGTCAGAGTGAGCTTGTGCTATGGCTGGAATCAGGCCCCCTTCCTGAGGGCCCAGCCTCCCCAAGCCACAGCTTCTTTATTGCAGGGTCTACTGCCAGTGCTGGGATGGGGAAGCCCCCCAGCCCCCAGCCCAGCAAAGGCCAGCTTCCCCTTCTCCTCCGTGTGGGCAGCTTCCCTCACCCCGCACCCTGCCTACTCTGCTGGGCCCACCCTCCTGCCTGAAAGACCCAGTCAAGCAAAGGCAGCTGTAGGCCTGGAACGTCAGGCTGAGTGTACACCACCTCACTCTGGGCCATCGCAGCCACGAAGGTGCACTGGCTGATGGGTTGTGGCAGGCAAATTGTCGTGTTATTTTTGGTGTGAGGGGTTAAATTTGCCTTACCTGTTTACAAAAGCTGTCGTGAGCCTACTTACTGCTCAATTAGCTGTAATTGAAGCAGTGGGGGTGGGGGAGCAGAAGGGAGGGTGCAGTGGGGACCTGCATGTGCATATGTGCACGTGTGTGTGTGTGCCTGGCACTGCGTGGCAGGGGTGGGGGTGGGGAGCCAGGAGCCCGGAGAGGCTGCCCTGGGGAGGTGGTGAGGGGACTCCAGAATTCGAGCCAGCTCTCTTTGGGCGTGGGGTTCAGTCAGTGTCACAGGCTGGCCCCACCACATCCCCTGCAAATCCCGTTTTGTTCCTGCCTTCCCCAGCTGTGCCCTCTTTCCCAGGGGCTCCATCACAAACCAGCCTTCTGGGGTGGAGAGCTGGGTTCGAGGAAAAGCGGGGGCACAGGTGGGATGGGTGAGACAGAACAGACCAGAACAAAGTCAGCTGTTCCGCAAAAGGTGGGGCTTTGCTGGGCTGCAGGAGCTTGGGGCACGCTGGAGTTCATCACAGCTTGAAGCAGTGGCCTGATGGTAACAAATAATAATTATTATAGTAGCAATGAATTATGATAGTAATAAAAATAATAGCAACACTTTAGTTAATACTTATTGGGCATTACCTCATTTAATTGTCCAAACAACCCTCTGAAGCACAGGAGGCTAAGTACCTAATTCCACGTCACACAGCCCAGTAGCGCTCGCTTCTGGAGGTGAACTAAGCTAGCGCTGATTCTGCAGTCTGAGCACTTGAGCCCTGGCCACACTGCCTCCCACTGAGGCCCCTGTGGCCAGGACTTGGGTAGAACACAGGACTAGGCGGCAGCTTGGGGTGTCCACAAAAGCTGTGACAGGCACCAGGAATGCCTCGGCATTTATTGGGCTTTTACTGATGGTGGAGGGGATGTGTTAGGGAATGTGCTTCACCTGCGGTTAGATTCAGGTTTGCTGAGGTTGGTGTTGGAGCCATGAAGTAAAGAGACTTAAAGCCAGCCAAGGGGGTTGCCCTTTATTCTCAGGTCTGGGGGGAGCCCCTGAAGGTTTTGAGCAGAGGAGAGACATGGGCAGAGCCGCGCTGGGGGATAAACCTGAACGTGTGTGTCAGTGGGTCTAGTGGACTGGCACGGGTGCCCAGGAACCTGTGTGTGGGGACCAGCAGCTGTGTGGTCTTGAGAAAGTCCTCTCTGCTCTCTTTTGCCCCTTTGGATTCAGGAGGTGTCCTAAGATACGTCGGGCATCCTGTGATGCTTTTGCTGTCCTCAGCTGCACTAGGAGGTGCAGGAAGCATAGAGGATGGAAGGCGGAACTTTCAGAAGTGGGTTTCACTGCTCTGAGATCTGCTTGGATAGAGGGTGACAGAAAGGCAGGGGTCAGCAGTGGCTCCAAACTGCAAGGAGAGATGGCAGAAAAGAGACACCCTGAGGAACCAGCTGGATGACACAGTAGGCAGAATAAACTTGCCCTGAACGGCAGCAGAGCAGACCCCTCCCACCAAACAAACAATAAACATATTATAAATGGATAAATTAATCAAAGCTGAACATTTTTCAGTAAAGTTACATAAAAAGATACTGTTTTAACTGCAGGATCCCTATGGGGACTGTGTCATCTTACAGTTTTGCTTTTAGTTTTCACGTGTTGAAAAACAATGTTTACTGCTTCAGTCTTTTCCATGGTCTCCAAGGGAAGTCATGGGTGGAGTTGCTTCCAAGGGACAGGAAGATGAGGGTGTGGGCTGTGCAGGGTTCTGCAGGGGATGCTTAGGGGCAGTAAGACAACTGAGGTTGGAGCCTCAGGCAAGTCAGCCTGTTAAGGTGTCTGCTGAGGGCCCAGAGGAAGTGAGATTCCAATACAGAGAGCCCAGGGTGCATGGGGCAGGGGCAGCGGGATTTGGGGGAACGGGTCCACCTCAGGAAGGGACAGCTACTGGCCATTTCCCAAAATGTTGAAATAAGAGGACACTTTGGTTCTCCAGGCTTCCTTGCTCAGTGGGTTCCCCCACCTTTCAGATCAGCACCCTGTGTACTGCTGGCCTGGGACATCCTGTTTATTTCCTTCAGAGCACTTACAATGGAAAATTGTCGGATTGGTTTGTGGACTTCCAGAGCATAGGTGCCCTAAGGAGGAAGGACCCTGGCTGTTTTTTTCACCTCTGTATTTCTGGGCTCTAGAACAGAGCTTCCCACAAAGTAGGTGCTTGATACACATTTGTCGAATGAATACATGCACACACACATGCATGAATGGAATGGTGGTGTCTCGGGCTATGTGACACCTGGGTTGGGGAGAAATTTGGGGCCCCACGACCTTCACCTTCTTCATATAACTCGGGAAGCACCTGCTATGGCTGCCTGTGGATGATGGCAAGCTCGCCTCCTCCTCACAGGCACAGAGCGCCCACCGTCTGTCTGGGGCGAGGGGACAGCACCCTGGTACTGTACTCCCCTGGTGCTGGCGGGGCGCAGGCTCCAGCTGCTTGTCCTCGGGAAGGAGGAGCCCTTTTCTCTCTCCTCTTGCTCATCCGACTTGTTTGCTTTTTGTTCTTCCTATTTTGCTTTCTAAAATAGTAAGTAGGTTTTGGAGTTCAAGGAAGGCTCTTGTCCTCATCGGTGCTCCAGAGAAAGTGGGGTGGGGATGAGCTGTGCGGCCCCTTCGCTGCCCTCCTGCAGCTGGGACGGTCTTTTCCATGCCCCCCTCTCTTTCCAGGGGCCCTGCTTTCCTCTTGTTCCTAGCCCCTTGGATGGAGAGAGGCTCATTGGACAGGCAGGTGTCGTGATTGCTGAAGGGCGTTTCGGTTACCTATTTTTACACCACATAATAAGTCACCCTGAATTTAGTGGCTTAAAAACACTGCCACTTAACTGCCCATGATTCTGAGGTCAGGATTCTGGAAGGACAGAATGCAGGAATAGCTGGATCCTGGTCCCCACCTGGGCTGCAAGAGCGGGAGCGCCGCTGGGACAACCTGCTCCGTGGGGTCTCCCCAGAAGACGAAAGGGGCTTTGTACATGCCACTCAGGGCCCCCGGGAGTATAGAAGTGGAAGCTGTCAAACTTGGGCTGCCCCTGAGCTTAGGCTGGAACTGGGGGAGCATCAGTCCTGCCGACTTTGATTGAAGGGAGCCCCAGGGCCTGCCCGGACTCCATGAGTGGGGCCATAGTTCAGTGGCATCACCAGCGCAATGGCCTCGCACCCCTGGGCAAGGCCCAGAAGAAAGAACAGGGAGGGTTGCCCCAGGCTTGACACGCCCCTCTGCCCCGGTGCTGGGGCCTTGCTCACTTCTTCGCTGCCTGGTCTTTCTTAGCCTGCGGATGCGCCCGCGCCCTGGCCCTTCGGCCTCTCTGGCCTCTGGTGCTGCTCCTGTCCCCTCCCAGACAGGCAGGGGTCCTGGGCTGGTGGGACACCTGACCTGGGACTCGGTTCTTATCTTTCCTCCTCCCGTTCCTGTCCCACTCTTGCAGCCTGCCCCCTTCCGGGGTGCCCTGAGCTTTCCCAGCCCAGAGGCCTTGTCACATCCCGTGTCCCGTAGGCCCCTGCCTCATGTTCTCAGTTCTCTCCTTACCGAGCCCTCTGTCTCCTGCCACCGGAGCCTGGGGAGTCTGAGCCCAGAGCAGTAGGAAATGCTTGTCTAGGTGAACGTGCCAGGCTGGCACCGAGAAGGTGGCACAGATGGCCACTCTGGTGACTGCACCTTGCCAGCTGGAAGGCCCTGGCAACAATAGCCACTCTGGTTTCCTGCCAAAGAGGCCCTATTCGATGAGCCAGGAGTTGGTCAGTTAAGTGAGCAGCTAGAGGAGTGGCTGGTAGCGCTGGAGGTTGGGGCAGGGGGCACTCTCCTTTGGAGATGACCCTCCCCTTTTGCAGAGGACCATGTCCCCGGGGCTCCCTTCCCCTCCTCAGGGTCAGCCCAGGGCCACTCACAGATCAGGTCACAGGCTGGCTGAGTGGCAGGGGCCTGCTGGAAGCCTAGCTGATGCCAAGGCCCATGCTTTCCCAGCAGCCCTGCCGCCCTCCTCAAGGCCCCCACCTCCCCTGCTGGTTCTTGTTCCCATTGGAGAGGCCCCAGGAGTCGCCACGCCATGGGAGGGGAAGGCATAGCTCGGGTAGACAAAAGTGGCTGTGGAGGGCATGAGAAATAGCATTCTTTATTCATAAATAAAATCATAAAATTACCAGAAATAGTTTACATGGCTAAAAAGGGGCATCAAAAATAAAATAAAATGAAGCTGTCAAAAGCAAAGCAAACCAAAAAAACAAGGAACAACCAAGAGAAAAATAACTATGTACACATTCTACCTAATGCCAGTCCATCCGAAGGCAGCCCCAGCTGGGGCTCCAGCTCTGCCAGCAGACGCAGCTCAAGACGGAGCACACAAGAGGCGAGGGACTGTGGGTTTGGACAGGATGCGGGGCCTCCTGCTGGGGCGGCTTGGCTCAGGAGAACTCTGGGTCCGCAGGGGGAGCCCCCTCCCTCCTGCTGCTCCAAGAGCACCAGCTGGCTTGCCCCTGAGCATCCCTCTCACCCCAAACGTGGCCCAGGCTGGGCTGGGACAAGAGCAGGACCCAGGGGCAGAGGCTCAGTGTGCACGTCTCAGGAGAGGGGCAGCACCCATAGAGCCCAGTGCCCCGGCGGCTGAGCGCACCTGGCAGGAGTTCCCTGAATGAGGACACAGCCACGGCGGGTGCCCTGTGAGAGTCTGCTCAGTGTAAGGCCCAGAGGCAGAGTCCCCTCCCTGGTGAGGCGGTGCAGCATGCTGCCCTGTCTGCAGGTGGCCAGAGCGTTTTCAGGCCAGGCATCCTCTGGGGAGCAGAGCCCGTCAGTCTGATGGAGCGAGCAGGCATGGCGGCGGGAGTGTCAGCAGGAAGGGCAGCAGCTTGTGCTGGACCTGGGCCAGGCTGCTGTCCAAGGCCAGTGTCACCACCTCCCCAGTCCCTGCACAGCCTCTGCTCTTCAGAGCCTCCCTCCGGGGAGTCTGGGTTTGGCACAGTCCAGGAATAGTTAAGGACGTTTCCCCATAGGAAGGGAAGAAAGCCGCCTGGCAGCAAGGTCACTATGCTACAGGACACCACTGCTTTCCGGCACCGCCGTGGCCGCCCTGGGGTCATGGCCTGCAGCAGCTCCGACGGAATCTACAACTTGGCCTGGGGTAGGGGTGCAGGCTGTAGGGCCCGGTCATGCTCACACCGAGGTAACCCAGGTCTTGCCCCTGCACCCCCTCCCCAGGGCTTAGCACCCCCTCTTCTCAGGTGAGGACTTGAGGGCAGAGCACTGGGGTTTGGGCTGCTCTTTGAGGGTGGGGGTTATCTCCAGCCTGGGGAGAAGTGCCACTGGGAAGGACTCAGACAAGGCACAGGCTGGCGGAAATGGAGGGGCTGAGGGCTGTGGCACAAGGAACGGGGCATCTTTGACTTGAGGGTATGTGCTGTACCTGGTGAGGGTCCCTTGGCCCAGATTCCAGGGTAAATCTGGCTCATGACTAAGAGACATTCCAGAAAAGCCCTTCTCAGGTGGAGGCAGCAGGGCAGACACAGCATGACCCTGGGCACTGGAAGGCAGAACTCCCTGCAGGGAAGGGCCTGCCCTCAGCCCAGGCTACCGGAGGGCATGTGGCAGACCCTAGGGGGGAGGCGGGGCCACAAGAAGAGAAACAGCCCCCCACTTGCACCTCGGGCACTACCGGGGCTGGCTGCCAGGGAGGCAGAACTGGGCTGGGACATTGGTCTCAGGCTGTGAGGGACACAGACGTTCTATGTTCTATTTTCTCCCACCTCCATGAACCCGCTCAGCAGGCAGGCATGGGGCTCAGGAGCCCAGTGAGGGCTGGCTGTCCTAAGAACAGCAGCTGTGGCTAGAGGCAGAAATAGAACATGCAACAGCCTGGCTGCCTGCTAGATCTGGCTTGCTTCTGAAAAGACAAGGAAAAAAAGATGAAAGAAGAAAAAAAGTAAATTAAGGAAGGGAAGAAAGCCGCCTGGCAGCAAGGTCACTATGCTACAGGACACCACTGCTTTCCGGCACCGCCGTGGCCGCCCTGGGGTCATGGCCTGCAGCAGCTCCGACGGAATCTACAACTTGGCCTGGGGTAGGGGTGCAGGCTGTAGGGCCCGGTCATGCTCACACCGAGGTAACCCAGGTCTTGCCCCTGCACCCCCTCCCCAGGGCTTAGCACCCCCTCTTCTCAGGTGAGGACTTGAGGGCAGAGCACTGGGGTTTGGGCTGCTCTTTGAGGGTGGGGGTTATCTCCAGCCTGGGGAGAAGTGCCACTGGGAAGGACTCAGACAAGGCACAGGCTGGCGGAAATGGAGGGGCTGAGGGCTGTGGCACAAGGAACGGGGCATCTTTGACTTGAGGGTATGTGCTGTACCTGGTGAGGGTCCCTTGGCCCAGATTCCAGGGTAAATCTGGCTCATGACTAAGAGACATTCCAGAAAAGCCCTTCTCAGGTGGAGGCAGCAGGGCAGACACAGCATGACCCTGGGCACTGGAAGGCAGAACTCCCTGCAGGGAAGGGCCTGCCCTCAGCCCAGGCTACCGGAGGGCATGTGGCAGACCCTAGGGGGGAGGCGGGGCCACAAGAAGAGAAACAGCCCCCCACTTGCACCTCGGGCACTACCGGGGCTGGCTGCCAGGGAGGCAGAACTGGGCTGGGACATTGGTCTCAGGCTGTGAGGGACACAGACGTTCTATGTTCTATTTTCTCCCACCTCCATGAACCCGCTCAGCAGGCAGGCACGGGGCTCAGGAGCCCAGTGAGGGCTGGCTGTCCTAAGAACAGCAGCTGTGGCTAGAGGCAGAAATAGAACATGCAACAGCCTGGCTGCCTGCTAGATCTGGCTTGCTTCTGAAAAGACAAGGAAAAAAAGATGAAAGAAGAAAAAAAGTAAATTTCTTGAACCAAGCAACTGGGACACTCCGCCGTTTCTCTACTCCCCCAGCTCTGCACATCCTGGAGAGAGAAGCCCAGCTTCCCCCAGGGCGCTGGCCCAGTCCCCATGAGCTGCAGCTCCCTGGATCTTGGATTCTTTATAGCTGGAGGCACGTGGCAGCCCTGGGGCTCACTCTCCTGCCTGGGGCTCTGGCCCATGGGTCCCCTGCAGACCCTGCCAACCTCTAAGGACTTCCACTGGAATCGGGCATGGGACCTGAACTGATCTACACGCCCATCACCTCTGCACTGTCTCAGTGGGTGTGGGCTCTTCTGCATGCAGCAAGGGCTTGCCTCTTGGGAAGGAAAGAAGCTCAGAGAAGCTGCTAGCCAACTTGAACCAGATGGGGAAAACCAAACCTGGAGGTCCCCAAGGAAAGAAAAAAGCCCCTGAGGCTCTCCCTGGGACAGCTGGAAAGCCACGCCCTCACTGTCAGGGGGCCTCCAATCTTCTCTCCCTGGCACCAGCCCAGGGCCCCATGTCTATGGTCTTAGGAGTGGTTGCTGAGGTCAGAGGCCACCAGCCACCCAGAGACTGCTCACGTCTGGCCAGCGGGGCCCAGCAGAGTGTGGCCAGGAGGACGCAGGTTCTCTCCCCTGCACCCTCTGGGTCCCGCTGAGGCTAGTCACTCTGGGCAGCCCTGGCCATCCCCCACTTCTGTGGTTTGCCCAGGTTGGGTTGGGGGGGCTCTGATGCTGCCAAGGCAGACTCTCCACCCCCAACTCAGCCCTGGAACTCCGTGGCCAGAGGAAAGCAGCTCAGGTCAGGACAGGGTCCATTTCCAGGACTTGTGGTCACAAGTGGCTTCTTTCTATTCCCAAGGCATCCCAGTGTGCCTGGGGGAGGAAAGGGGCCAAGGGGAGAGGCGGAAAGCGGCTTCTGGAGTGGCCTCAGCCTTCACAGCAGTCGCCCATCATCCCTGGGAGAGGGTCTCTAAGTATTCTGAACACAGGCCAAAGTTTAGGGAGCCCTTAGCCAGACGATGGAGGTCCTGGACCCAGTTCTCAGGAAGGCTAGAGGTCTAGCAGGCTCCAGTGATGGGGGAAGCTCTGGGAGGTGGGCAGGGGAGGGAAGCCAGGGAGCTGCCCCTCCTGCACGCCCCCCAGGTTGGTGCTAAGCAGGGGCTATGGAGGGGCTCAGCCCCCCGACTTCCAACACCAGGTCTCTGCTCTCCCGCTCGCCGCGGGCCCCTCAGATCTCAGTGGCTATGATGTCCTCGTAGGGGATGTCGGCCCCCTGCAGGTCCACCTCTAAGGGCTCCGCGGCGCCCTCCCCCCGGGCCAGCTGCTGCAGGGCCTTCTCCAGGCGCTGGTTCCGCTGGAACATAGCCAGGTAGCTCTGTTGCAGCTGCTTCTGGTACTGGATCACCTTCTCCTTCTCCTCCTTCCACACCAGCCTCTCGTGCTGGAAGCCTGAGGACATCTGGTCGTGGCCCTGCCGCTCCTCGTGCAGCTCAGCGCGCAGCCGCTCCAGCTCCCGCTGCAGCACGGGGATGTCCTCTGCGAGGCCAGGCCCCAGGGCCAGCCCGTCCCGCTGCAGGGCGGCCTGGGCCCGCAGAGCCCGCAGCTCGCGCAGCTCCTGCTCCAGCAGGTTCACCTTCTCGCGCAGGAGCTCCGACTCATTCTTCTTGCGCTGCAGCTCGTTCTCGCAGACCTCCAGCTCCAGGCCCTTGGTGCGCAGAGCGCCCTCCAGGTCCCGCGTCCTGAGCTCCGCGCCCTCCAGCCTGCCACGAGCGTCCTTCAGCTGCGCCTTCAGGCTCAGGATCTCGCTGGCCTTGGCGTTGATCTCCGTCTGGGCCTCCTTGAGCTGCTGCTTCAGGAGAGAGATCTCACCCGACTTCTGGCACACCTGCAGAGGGCAGGTGGGAAAAGAGAGAGCCGAGAGGTGAGAGCTCCTGGCCCACTTCCTGCCACGGTGCCTGCCTGGCCCGGGAAGGCCAAGTCCCTCTGTGGCTCCTCTCCTTGTGCAGCCTGGCTGGGACTGTCCACATGCCTGCCTCAGGCCTCATTCAGGGTCTGAATCTCAAGCTACCCAGACCCACAGCTGTGCCTTATCCAAATTCAAGGTGTGAATTGGTCAGTGGTTTAATCTGCCCGCTGCTGGTAGTGCCATCATCCAGTTTAACATCAGTGACACCAATATCCGTGTCCATTGCAACACCCATGCTTATGCCCAGACCCTGTGACCTCTCCCTGCATGCACTCAGCTCTCCTCCCCTCCTGGGTGAAGGCTCTCTCCACACACTCCTGGCTGCTCCTCAGCGTCTGGCTCACTGATTGCACCAGCTGGTGTTTTGTCTGGCCGGTGACGAGCGAGTGTGTGCTCCCTGCTTCCACTCGCGGGCCCTGTCACCAAAGGCACTCACTCAGAACCATGGTCCCCAGGGCTTGGCTGTTTGGAGTTGTGGGTGGCTCAAAAGAAGACCAAGGCCCATCACAGCGTTTCCTGCTGTCCTGTGGGAAAACTGGCCAGAATGAAGCCAGGCCTGGGCCTCGACTGAATAGGGCCTGGGAAAATGAGACCCGGAGGCACCCTCCCTGGTCCCCTCCTCTCCCTCTAGCACCTCTGGGCTCACCTATGAACGCTGCTCAGCCCCTCCCGCAGGGCACGGTTAGGATTTCCCAAAGCTAAGTCTGTGTCTGTGTCACAGAGTCACGACTGGAGCCCGCGGCTGGCTTTGAGTCCTGGCCCTGCCCCCGGGGCCCACGTGAGCCTGGCTGCATTCGCAGAGTAGCAGTGTGGGGTGGGGATTCAAAATGTAAACTCTACAGCCAAACTGTTAGGCTCAAATCCTGGCTCTGACACTTACTGTGGGGTGACGTGGGCCAGCCATTTAACTAGCTGTTTGTGATTATAACTTCTCTGTGCCTTAGTCCCTGTCCGCTGAGGGTTAGTAACCACATGTGCTTCAGAGAGGTGTGAAGACCTGATGGAAGAACCTAGAGCCCAGCCCTTAATAAACAGGCAACAAATTATTGTTATTCTCATGGATATGTTGTAGTATATTTATGTGTTACTATAAACATTTATTTTATTTTTTTGTTTTAATATACAGCCTGACTGGCAGCCTGGGACATGGTCACAGGAGAGTCTTGCTTAGTTCTGACTGGACAAACAAGGAGGGGTACCTAATGCCAGCACCTGTTTATATCTGTAGGATGCCCAGTGGCTCCAAGCCCTGGAAGAGAAACAGAGCAGGGGTGCCAGCTGCCGTGCCCATACAGATGCGAAGGGCAACTGGCCACGTCCCTTCCCCTTCGGGAGCCGCACCCACGTGACGACTCCTTTCTCACCTGTACAGTCCTGGAGAGGGAGTCCTTCCCTCTGCTCCCGACAGCACTGTCACCCTCGACTCCAGGATGAGCGCAGGAAGCTCCCGAGCACGCACACGGCTGGGGTGTCACCCCCACCTGGGTGACACTGATCGAACAGGGCACAGGAACCCCTTGACCCCTTCTCAGCTCACCGTGTCTACCCCAGCACCACCTCTGGGGCCTCTCAGGTGAGAAAAGCTACTTTCCAGCAAGTAGCATATGGGAGTGAGGCTGGTTCTCAAGCAAGGCCAGGTCCAGAGCCCCCTTCCCAGGTGAGTCTGAGTGTGTGTGCATGTGAGTGTCCTTTTCTTCGTCTCCCACATTTCCATCTCAGCCCCACAAACAGAAGCCCCACTGACATTTCTGTGAGGAGTGGCCCATTCAGCCCCCAAAATCTGTCACCCATGGAGTCACTCCTACTAGTGGTGGTGTCCCTTCCCTCAAAAGTGACAGATTGATTCTGGACTCTCAGGCAGGCTCCCGGCCCACCACGAACTCAGGTGTGGCTTATGCATCACTTGAGCCTCCTGTGAGCAAAGAAGTGGGCTGGCCCTGTGATAGGCCAGCCAGGCCTGGTTCTCTGGGTTCCAGATTCCCGTCAGCAACTTGGCTGGTGAATTCAATTCTGGGGGCTGCACACTGAGGTGGGGAGGCAGCAGGAAGACCAGACTGAGTGCACCCCAACAGGGCTTACCAGGGAGACCCCTCCTGAGGTCCCAGAGCTGGCACGCTGGCCCAGCTCCTGGTGCAGTGTGTGGACCAGACCTGGAGGAGGAGAGGGACACCAGGGCCACACGCCTGAGCCCACATACACCCACACCACCAGCCTTACCTCCCACTGGGTCTCCTCCAGTGCAGGGGCAAAACTGGTCTTTTCCTTCTCATAGGACCTGAGCTTGGTCTCCAGCAGGTCCTGCTCCTTCATGAGGCTCTCAAGCTCCTGCCGGAGCTGCCGCTTCTCCTGCTGGAGCTGCAGCACTTGCAGGTGCAGCAGCTGCTGTGGGCGCTGGCCCTTCTGCGAGGCCGGCTTCAGCTTGCCGCCACCCTTGAGCTCCGGGCCCTCCGGCTCCTCCTTGCCGCGCCACGGCCCCTCGTGGGCCTGGCTGGGAGGCAGCTCCTTCTCCTCGAAGCTGCGCCGCAGCTTCTGCAGCTCGCCCTCCCTCACCAGCAGCTGCTGCTCCAACTCCTGGATGGAGCACTCGTCCGTGGAGATCGGGGAGCGGACGCACGAGGGGCCTTTGTCTGCCTGGCTGGAGTGGGCCAGTTTGCTGCCCCCGTCCGAGAAGGACAGGGCCTTCAGGCTCATCATGTTGCTGTCCTGGGGGATGAGGCCCTGGGTGATGTTGTGGGCTGAGCCCCCGAAACGGCTGGTGGGCCCCACGGGTGTGACCAGTGGGTCGAGCTGGTAGCTGCTGGTGGTGCTGTGCGTGGGCAGGCTGGACATGGAGTTCCGGCCGGAGTCCGACAGGGCCCCAGAGCACAGGCTGGGCTTCAGCTCCTGCTCCCTGGGCTTGTCTGGCGGGGCAGGGTGCAGCTGGTGGCCAGCGCTCTCCGGAGAGGAGTGGAGGATGGCTCCTGAGCGTGGCAGCACCGGCTTGAATGCTGTGGGCCTCGCCGCACCCTTCTCTGAGCCCTGAGGAGGAAAATGACCACACTCACCCCATGTCCCTGTCCGCATTCCCCCCATCCTTCCCTCCCTCACCCAGGGAATCAGGTAGACTTGTGTTGCCCTTCTTGGTCTGTGGCCGTAGGTGGATGAGCTAGATCCCTATTAAGTAGGAGAAATTCCCCTGTGCTGGGGGATGTCCTTAATGATCATGAGGCCCTTTCTGTTATGAACTGCTGTGCAGTCAATAGGCAGTCCCAGTTCTCCTAAGATGATGAACTGTGATTTTAGGTGCATGGGCTGTGATTTCTGGGCCAGGGCTCTGCTCTGGGTCTGCACGGCATCACCGAGGATATGAGGCTGGATGAGTGTGCCCCTGAAGAAGCCTACCCCTCTTCTCCTGCACTGTCCTTCCAGTCAGCCAGGAGCAAGAATACTCACCATGGCATCCTTGAAGGGTTGGGAGGATCCCTTGAAATGAGAATCCTTTTCTCAAAATTGCCATTTTTATTGGTAGAGGACTTTACAATTTACAAGCCATTTCACTTGGAAGCTTAAAGCTCTAAGCAGACATACAGAGACCGCTTCCTACTCTATCAAAGTCATGGGTCCATTTCCCTGACAGGGCAGGGGACTGAATATGAAATTTTTTCCAGTGTCCCCGGGTGGGATACCTGAGAGCTTGAGCTGGCACACGGGCTGTGTTCCTGAGTACGCAGGACTCTTACGCCCTCATCTCTGCTAAATTAAGGATGGCAACCAACTCAAAGCCCGTCAGGCCAAAGTTGCTTGCACGCCCGGCCTGAGCGAGGGGCTGCCGCACCACCAGGCCAGAATGACCACACTCACCCCATGTCCCTGTCCGCATTCCCCCCATCCTTCCCTCCCTCACCCAGGGAATCAGGTAGACTTGTGTTGCCCTTCTTGGTCTGTGGCCGTAGGTGGATGAGCTAGATCCCTATTAAGTAGGAGAAATTCCCCTGTGCTGGGGGATGTCCTTAATGATCATGAGGCCCTTTCTGTTATGAACTGCTGTGCAGTCAATAGGCAGTCCCAGTTCTCCTAAGATGATGAACTGTGATTTTAGGTGCATGGGCTGTGATTTCTGGGCCAGGGCTCTGCTCTGGGTCTGCACGGCATCACCGAGGATATGAGGCTGGATGAGTGTGCCCCTGAAGAAGCCTACCCCTCTTCTCCTGCACTGTCCTTCCAGTCAGCCAGGAGCAAGAATACTCACCATGGCATCCTTGAAGGGTTGGGAGGATCCCTTGAAATGAGAATCCTTTTGTCAAAATTGCCATTTTTATTGGTAGAGGACTTTACAATTTACAAGCCATTTCACTTGGAAGCTTAAAGCTCTAAGCAGACATACAGAGACCGCTTCCTACTCTATCAAAGTCATGGGTCCATTTCCCTGACAGGGCAGGGGACTGAATATGAAATTTTTTCCAGTGTCCCCGGGTGGGATACCTGAGAGCTTGAGCTGGCACACGGGCTGTGTTCCTGAGTACGCAGGACTCTTACGCCCTCATCTCTGCTAAATTAAGGATGGCAACCAACTCAAAGCCCGTCAGGCCAAAGTTGCTTGCACGCCCGGCCTGAGCGAGGGGCTGCCGCACCACCAGGCCAGTATGTGAGGGGGAGGCCCACCTCCAAGCATCTGCCAGTGAGGGAAGCTGCTAGCTTTCTCCCAGTGGGATCCCCGGTGCTCTTCCAGACGGCGATAGAGCTCCCTCTCCTTCCCATGCACCTGAGATGCTGCTGGTCCTGCTCTGACCACCCGGTTACATCCCAGGGGGGTTCTCAAAGGCTTCAATTTCCTCTTTGCTCTTTGCTTAAGGGCTTGTCCAGCACGTGTGGATTAGGGAATGGTCAATGTATCCATTTCCTCCTCTAACCTTTGACCTCTGTGGAGTGGCTGGGTACTTCCACCCCCACCGCCGCTGCTCTGGCTTCTTGGAGATCTAAAGTTTAGATCACACCACATGCCTCCCACGCTCTCCAGCCCCATTTTGCTCTCTCCTGCCTTTCCAACCCACCCACTCTTGCCTGAGACCCCTGCTTACCATTTCTAGCTGATTGGAGAAGGGCATGAGCTTGGGTGGGGTGGGAGGGCCAAAGTCCACCCCCGCTGGGCTCCCTATGTCCCCGCTGGACAGTGCAGTGTAGTCTGGATGGTGGGAGCCCCGGGCCTTCTGGCTGACCTTGATGTAGAAGAAGTCTTCACTTTTTCCCATTTTGGAACTGGACTTGCCACGACCCGAGTCCTGGGAGAAGCCGAACCTCAGCAGCCCATCTGAATACCGATTGAGCTTCTTGAGGTGGGAGGACTTGCGCAGCTTGTACTGCGAAGCCCGGCAGTGCTTGCTGTGGAAGCTGTGGCCTGAGATGAGGCTGCTGACGCTGCCCATGGTGGCTCGGGGCCGAGGGCGGGCAGGGCGGAGTGGGAGGGAGGCGCGGCTGCTGTGGCAAGGGACGGTCCTGGCTCCTCAAAGAGACTGCGGTCATAGCAAGAGCCTCACCGTGCCCACGAGAGCCGCAGACCTGTGGGGATATGAGGCCAGTACGTCAGCCTGGGGCTGTCATTGCTGACCGTTCCAGGTGTGCCTTAGGGGGGATGTTCCGACTCCTGGGTCTGGGCAGTAGGGGCGCCTGTTTCCCTGACAGCTCAGCCTTACCTCCGGTACTGGGCTCTCCACTCATTCCTCCTTTGTCTGCTAACTCAGCAGTCGTTCTCAGAGAGCTGCTTTGGGATGGGCTGTGCTAAGACACAGTGGTGACTGAGTGGTTGTGTCCCTGCTCCCACGGGGCTTGGGTCAGTGCGGCATGCACGGGCCCTGGACGAGGCAGCGTCTGCCGTCCCAAGGGATGTGTGCACTGTGGGGCAGGTCAAGCAGACTGAGTGGGATAGAATTCGGGGAGGTGTTTTTATCCAGGCAGTACAAGGGAGGCCTCTCTTGGGGGTATTGCTTGCAGAAAACTCAAGGAAGTGAGGGAGCAAGCCATGTAGGAGTCTGGAAAAGAGAGCAGCTCAGAGGAAGCCCCCGGCGCAAAGCCCTGAGCACCTGCAGTGGATGCTCACGGCATACCTGGGAACAGCAGGGGCTCCCGGGTGGCTGGAGAGTGTCAGCACCCGGGAACACAGGAGAAGCAGAGGTCAGAGATCTAGTGGGCACCAGGTGACAGTAGGCCCGGCTGCCCATAAGGGCTTGGCCTCTCTGAGGTATGGAGCCCCTGGATGGCTTTAAGCAGCTGACAACTTGATCTGACTTAGGCCCTGGAGTGTCAGTCTGGCTGCTGGGTGGGGAAGCGGCTGTTGAAGGGCCTGGGAGAAAGAGGTGGGTCAGTTACATTAGGTGAGTGGCTAACATGGCTGGGCCAGGGTGGTAGCTGTGGACTAAATTTTAGATGTCATTTTAAGGTCAAGCAGACAATTTGCTAAAGGATTGCACACAGGAGTGAGAGAGAAAAGAGTCAAGGATGATGCCAATATTTTTATCTGTGCAACTAGAAGTAAGTCACCCTTTATTGAGATGCAAAAAAATCACAAAGGAGCCAGTGTAGGATGAGGCAGGAGGGGAAAACTGCAGTGTGGGTTAAGACTTTGAGTTTGCAAAGCTTATTAGCAGCCCAGGAGTGCTGCATGTAGGCAGTAGAGGGGGGAGCAGGTCTCCACGTGAGCGTCATTTGTGTCTGAAAGCCAGCTGGTCACTGAGGAAGCGAAGACAAGAAGACAGGAGGAGTCTGGGGACAAGCTCATGAAGGGCAGGTGGGCAAGGAGTAGGGGAGAGGAACTGAGCTGGCTCTGGCGGATGCAGGGGACCCAGGAAAGCCAAGAGAGGGCAGGTGTCCTTAGGAAGGACCGTTGGTGACTGAGAACGGGCCATGTGGAGGGCGGTCATCTGTGACCTTGACAAGAGCAGGTCGGGTGGCGTGGTGCAAGGAGGCCTGCTTGGAGAGGGTTCAAGAGAAGGAGGAGGGGAATAATTGTGCCCTGAACGGTGAGGAGTACGTGACAGGCTTGCTTTGGGTTCCCAGTGATGCCACCTGGCAGTTGGGACAGGTGATGTAACCTCTTCAGCAACTTCACTCTCAGCTTCACAAACTAATTCTAAGACACACTTGAACTTTTTTTTAACAATAGGAATGAATCTCAGAACCAATGCTGAAAACAAGAACCATGACCTCGCCAGTCACCAGACAGAATACACGAGGCTGTCAGTGCAGGAACACTGCAGATTTAGGCAAATCTAAGCAGAATGGCTCAAAGCTAGGGAAGGCTGTGCGGTTGTCAAGCACTGAGTGTCAGTCAGTCAAAAGATGGGGAAAAAAACTACAAGTTTAATAAAGTAGGAAATGCAGAAGGAACCCTGCATTCTTAATTGTGCCCTAAATTACACTGTCAACCCTAAGCGTGTGGAGGAAGTCCTGGGTGGGTTACAGAGAGCTGCAGGGGCACAGCTGAAGCCGGCTGGAAGCCTCCTCCGCCTCTAAGGCTTTGATTCAAGCCTGCATTGTTATCCTGAAGAGGAAAGTGCTTACATTATGCAAAAATACATTCTATCTTCCAGTAATAAAAGTGTAACAAACATCACTGTGAAAGTGTAATGTCTGTTTTTCTATGAAAAGCTTTTATTAGATTGATGACCCCCTAGAATCAAGGAAACAGTCAGGCCCACCTCATAGGATCAGTAGGAGAAGCCTACAAGACACCTCCATAAGCTAAGGAGTCTGGCACAGGTATTCAACGCCTGCCACGGGGCGGGCAGGTACCCTCGCTGGTATCTGTTACTTGCACCACCCTCCTAGTTCTCTCCAGCACTCATCACCCCCATACTCTCTTCCCCACCTCCCCTCGTTTTCCTCACCCTCCCAAATGCAACTTTCTTACCTCCCACTCCCCAGTGGCACACCGCCCAGGAGCGTGCGTTCCTCTGCTGATCTAACAGCTGACTAGAGCAAAATGTGTTTTTCATTCCCAGGTCATTCATCTCTTATCTGAGGCCTTCAGGTCCAATGGGGCAGAACATTCAACTGGTGTCTGTATGAAAGAAGCTATTTTTGGCCCAAAGACTCTCCTGTACTTGCACATTGTACCTCTTGGACATCCGGGGACTTAGCCTTAGCCCGCTGATTCACAGTTATCAGCATCTATACATACAGTGGTACAGAGGTAAGACAGGTGGCTGGGGCATCAGACAGATTTGAAAAGGAATCTCTCTGGGTTTCTTTGCATACAAAATGGAAATAGTAACTATTTCATGGGACCAGAATGAAGACGGAGCACACTAACAGAAATCAAGGGTAACGCTGGGTACACAGGTGCTCCGCAGATGTGTGGGTGAACAATACCAGGACAAGACGAGGGTGCTGCCCTCAAGGTGCATACACCACGGTTGGGGGACAATGTCAGGGAGACGTGCTACATGAATCTGTTTGCACCTCTCCTGCTCTATCACCATCATCTCTCACCTGGACCTGTACGCAGCCTCCAAATGTGGCCTACCCCAATCTGTTCATCCTAAGCATCTGAGGGTCTCAGTTGTCATGCTCCCTGAAGAAAACCCCTCAAGGCTTCTCTTTGTCCTTGACTGAGGCTCCAGCAGGCCCTGGCTCCGGCCTGCTGCTCTGAGCCCATCTCACTCCATTCTTTCCTTACATCCACGACCGCGCCACACTCGTCTCTCCTGGTTGAACACACCGAGCCTTTCTCACCTGCTGCTGCCACTGCTGACAATTCCCTTCCCTTAGCTTTTCCCACAGATCACACTTTCTTGTCCTTCAGCTCTTAATTCAAAGATCACCTCCACAAGATGGCTTTCTCTGGTTATTTTGGAGAAGTCCATCTCTTTCATTACTCTGTTATTCCAGTCTATTTATTTTCTGAGACATGCTTTAATGCATCATAATCTTATTTTTAATTCATTGACTGTATATGTTTCCACCAGAATATAAGCTCAGTGAGAGCAAAGACTGTATCTACATCTCCTGGAACAAAAGGAGGAAAATGAGGAATTGACTCAAGGAGGTTGGAAGACGTGGCTTTTGTCATTCAACTGCCCAGTAACCAAGGTGGGATTTGGACCTCGACCCAAACTCTATGATTTGCATGTTGCAGCACACGGTGGGTGAGGCGGGAAGGTGCACGGGCCCTGCCCTGGAGGGTAAAGTGAATGCCCAGGACCGGGGGAGAGAAGCCTAGAGAAATCAGGTCCTTGTCTCCTCTTCCCTGCAGGCAGTTGACAACAACAAGGTTTCAGGTCCTTTGCTCCCCGCAGCAGCCACCTGGAGGGCCTGTTGATGCACAAGCACTGTGCTCAGCCCTGGGGACTGAGGGGACGGAAGGGGAGGAGCTGATGCAGGGGCAGAGGACAGGGTGAGCAAGGGTGGTGGCCCCAGTCCTCTGGGTACATTTCTGGTCATGGACCCGGATCCCCTGCTCCCCACCCAGGCATATACAGAAGAGCTTTGAAGTTCAAGATTATCCCCAGATGCACTTGAAGCTAAACTAGTTCTTTTTAAATGTCTAGACTTGCTTGTGTTCAGTTTGGAGAGAGCATCACAGATGCTTGGCTGTGATCCATCCTCCTCCCAAATTCAAGGCCTTCCTACCCATCCAGCCCTGCCAGGCCTCTCTGCCTTCAGGAGGAACAAGGGGAAGGGGTGCATTTTCATTCCTGGGAAACAAATCTCTACTGCCCAGGAGTACTGGGGTGAAAATAAACAATCCCAGAGATCTTGGAGAGTCCCGAAGGAGAAAGGAAGAGGGAAGGACTGGAGAGGAAAGAGGAAAGGAGCCACAGAACCTTGTATGGAGTGTGCCACAGTGACCTTCTGCATGACCTCCTGCTGGTTCACAAAAGAATCAGCAGGAATTAGGCTTTGGGTCTAAAGAGAAGAGCCAGAAACAGCTGGGAAGAGGGCCCCCGGGGGCCTACCTATACTTCTCAGCCTCTGGCCCCAGGGGATTCAGGAGGCTTTGCCCCCAGGACTGCACCAACCCTTCCTCTGTCCTATGAGACCCCTCAGCCAGGTGTGGCCGCTGCACCAGGACAGGCAGTAACTGGGACCTGGGAAGCCCTCAGCTCTGAGCCGCTTCTAGCCCCACCACAGCCGCCCCTCCCCCACACCACCTGCCCTGTCCTTCCCAAAGGAAACCAGGGCCCAGGCCAGAGGGATGCCCTCCCCTGAGGGTCCCTTTCTAGAATACAGAGATGGAGGAGTTGAAAGGGGGTCTGTCTGGGCTCAGGAAGAAGTAACACTACTCTCCCTACCGTCCTGAACCCTGGGGAGAAGCAGCTCCGGCCTTGCACACACCAGTCCAGACTTCTGGCCTGGGGAGAGTGAGGTTCCATACAGCCCCCTGCCTCTCCCCACACCCAGTCTGGAGAGGTCACCCACAAGATTAGAATGCAGCCTCCAGCCACCCACTCCTTCTCAAACCTTCCTCCTCAGCCTGGGTCATTACCCTCTGCTTCCGGCCTTCTCTCCCTCCTCTGATCCCTCCCCATCTCTTGGCATCCTGGTGGGAGGGCAGGCCAGGCATCCCCAGCATCTCTGCTCCGCCTGGCACCCTCTTTCTGAGGCACCCCATGCAGCATGTACCCACAGAGACCACTGCCCGCCGGCTCCCCCAGCACCCAGCAGGTGTGTCCTAACTGCCTCAAGGCAGCTGGTAGGCTGAGCCTGGCTACAGGACTGCAGTGGGGGGGGGGCTCACCTGGTCATTTATTCGACAAATATTTATTCAGCATCTAAGGAGGACCAAGTGCTATTAAAGTGCAGGGGGAGGGAGGGAGGAAGAAGAGTAGTTAGTGCATAGGAGGGAAAAAAGAAAAGCCAAAGAGATGGGGGTGGGGGCACGGGTGTGTGTGTGTGTGTGTGTGTGTGTGTGTGTGTGTGTGTGTCTGTGTGTGTGTGTGTGTGTGTGCGCGCATCTCTGTGCTCATGCATGCATGCGTCTACTACTTCAGTTGTAGTGGCCTGGAAGCCTGAGAAGGCAGCATTCAGAGGCAGCCAATGAAGTTTTTTTGGTAGCACAGGCAAAGGCTCTGTTTTAAATCAGTGGGTCTCAAGTGGGGGTGACTTGGCAACATCTGAAGACAAGACATTTTTGACCATCATCTGGAGGAGCTACTACCATCCAGGGGATGGAGCACAGGACAGCTCCCACCATGAAGAATTATCTGACCCAAGCTGTCAAGTACCTAGGGTGAGAAACCAGTTTTTAAGAAACAGAAGAAACTATGAATTTAGGACCTCAGTTCTTCCATTGACTCATTGTGACCTTGAGTAGGTGACTTAAGTTCTCTGTGCCTCTGTTTCCCAACTGCTACAATGGGGGTAACCATGTCTGCCTTGCCAAGGATTTTGTTATGAACATGGGAGTGAGAGCTTAGGAAGTACTGGGAAACATCACCAGTGCTGGGTGCTGTATGATCTCTCATTACTCTCCAGGGGAGTTCCCCAAGATACTCAGTTACAGGCTAGGTAGTTTATTTGAGAAGCACCCCTGGGCTGCACTCCCAGAACAGAAACTGGCCTGACCTCAGAGATCTCAGCATTGCCGCATGCCCCCAGGACAACCCTGACCTTGAGAGCAGCAGGGACCGGAGTGCACAATGTGACTTCCCTCTCCTTGGTTCGGAGCCTGGAGCCCACTGTGGGCTCAGTGACCAGCCACGACATGAGTGGCTGGATTGTTTTCCAGTGCTCCTCTGAGACCTCTTGAAGATTTCATGAGAGCTATCAAACCCCTCCTCACAAATACACCTCCCCTCCAACATTTCAACTATGACTTCTTAGGGTTCCTTGACCCTGAATGCCCCTTGACTAGCCCAGATTACAAAGATCAACATATCCTATGCTGGGAATGAAACATGAGCTTTGGGGCTCCAGGAGAAATGTATAAGCTGGTCTTAGATCACTGACTTAATAATGGCTCCTGCTTCTCCTCAGGGACTGGGGGTGGGAGCAAGAAGAGGAAGTGAAACTTGGGGTGCTGTGTGACCCCAGTGCAGCACCACCCATTCTCAGACTTCAGGGCCCCGCAGCTCTAGGTCCCAAGATGTGCATAGATTTGGGATCTGGTTCAAAGGGGTCATGAGGGAAAGCTCAGGGTCGTCAGGGGACTCCCCAGATCATGATGAGCACGGCTGCCTGGGGCAAGGCACCTCTCCAGTGCTCCCCAGTCCCTGACATGCCACTATTAGAGCTTCCTGCTTCTGTTTAACTTTAACCTTAATCAATTTTTAAAATACAGAAATACTGTAAAAATAACAAGTAATTGCCGATTCAATTGTTACAGAGTTGTCATATTTGTTGAAGAAATGAAACATCTCAGTTGAAATCCCCATTCCCTATGCCTTCCTCCTATCCCCAGGGGGAGTCCCGCCATGAACTCTGCAGGTGCGTTTTTTTAAATCTTTATCATCTTTAACACCTAAGAATACTATATGTATTGCTCTGAGTAGCATGTGGAATGTGTCACTTGGCAACCTTGATTGTTTGACTCAACAGTTTATATTTGGGAACCACGCCTGTCCCTTCTTTCACCTGCCATGATGTGGTGATGTGTTTCCCAGACCATTCCCTGCTGAGTTGCTTCCGGTGTGTTCCTAAAGCCCTCTTGTTATGATCTCTCCTCCTCATGTGTGGACACTTTTCCAAGATTGATTTTCTTAGAGTCTTGGAGGAGGTCTAGTTTTTAAAGCCCTTTCCCTTAAATCAATACCCCTGAGGAGGGCTGGCCTGTGGGAGGGACCCTTTTGGTCAGTACATCAAAGGAGGGCAGCAAGAGCAGGACAGAGACCCCAGTTCATACTCCCCCATCCTGCCTGGGCTGGGAGAGCTGCTGTTATTAAGAGGGTGCCCTTGGCAGAGTGGAGGTGGGAGGGAGGGTCCTAAGGTGGGTCGGGGTCCAGGGGCTTGGGCCACCCAGAAAGGGCCTCCTGGTGCAGGTGATGGAGGGCCTCCCGGCTCCAAGGCAGCTGGATATGGAGGGCAGCCCCTTCCATGGTCAGCTTTCTGCAAATGCTGAGCTGGGCAGAGGCTCATGGAGGCCCACACAGGAAGGGACTTGCCCAGTTCTGGACTCAAAACTAGCGTCTACAACACCAGAATCCAAATCTGGTTCAGCCTAAACCTCTGTCTCTTACTTAGACTTCATTTGAGTTAACTGATCACCTGGGGGTGAAGTAAATTTACTCCCTCCTTCACGTCCCGGGCCTATTCAAAGACTTTGGCCAAGACAGAAATAAAAGGCAGAGTCTCTGCTTTGTAGGACCTGGTTGATATGAGACAGGTGCTAAATAAGAAGCACTTAAAAAGCCGCAGCAGAAGCAGGGCAGGCCAGCAGTGGTGGCGGGTGAGGGCAGCTCTGCTCTCTCTGCCCCTAGCATGGAGGTTTGTCTCATGTTCTTGCCTGTACCAGTGAGGTAAGAGTTCTCATTCTCTTGTCTGCCTGTTATGAACTAAGGTTTGTGCCTCCCTGAATCCATATGTTAAAGCCCTAACCCCCAGTATGGTGGTGCTAGGAGGTAATTAGGTTTAGATGCGGGCATGGGGGCAAGGCCCTCATGACGGGATAAGAGTCCTTAGAAGACGCCGGAGAGTGCTTGCTCCCAGTCTCCCCATCTCTCCCTCTCACCCTGTCTCTCCCTGTGTCTCTGTCCCTGCCGTGTGGGGACAAAGCAGGAGGGGAGCTGTCTGCAGCCAGGAAGCCAGGTCTCACCAGCATCCAAATCTGCTGGTGCCTTGATCCTGCACTGTAAGAAATAAACGTCTGCATTTGAAGCCCCCCCGTCTGTGGTCCTTTGTTCTGGCTGCCCCAGGCGACAGGGACACTGCCCCTTCCCTCACGCCACACACCGTGGCTGGGCTGAGTCACCCTGCTTCTCACACTGGCTTTTGTTAAAAAGGAAAACACAGGCCCAACATGGGGTCACTTCTCCTAGGCCACGTCACCAAACTGGGGCTGAATGCCCAGCTGAAGTGCAGTGCTAGCCTCTCCCAGGGGTGGAATTTTAAGCCAATCAGTGTGGAATTTCCTGACCACTAGTTAGGCCATCTGCATGGGACCCCCTGCTCCTCCTTTGGGTCTGCGTCGCCCCAGCCTGGAAAGTAACAAGCCACTCACTTTCTGGCCCCGCCAGCTGTGACATCTTTGCCCCTTCAGGCAAACTCCCTGAGGGCAGGGCCTGTGCCTGCATGGTTGTGGTTCCCCTGGAGAGAAGCACCAGGCTCCAGCCATCACCCTGGGGCTTGTCCTCCCCATTTGGTCCTCAGCAAAGGATCACAGATGGATGGATCTGTTCTGTCATCTGGCATAAGACTTAACCTCTAGCATCTCTGTTTTATGTCTTCATGAGCACAGCTGACACCCACAGAGCAGGTACACACAGGATTAAACAAAATCATGTATATGAAAATGCCTAACCACGATAAGAGGAATGGTACACACTGCCTGAATTTAAACCAAAGTGATTGTGAAATTGGAAAGATGCAAGGACTAGATCCTCATATTTAGAAGTTAAAAGAGCTGGTCTTTAGGGAAGGATTCCACCCCCTGTCCCCACCTGCGCAGCCTAGGCCAGTTCACTGTGACTTGCAGCAGCCGGCCAGCCTCTCTGCCTCCAGGAAGGCAGCTGGGGCTGGCAGAGATGTGAGAGCAGTCCGCAGCGTCTGCCAGCTGGGGCCTGGGGGGGCCGTGGCTGCACCAGGCTGGTGGGCGGGTCCCCAGCCAGCTCCCTGCAGAGGCCTCTCTGGGGCTGAATGGGGCACGTGCCCCTGGTTAATCGACTCC